CGATTCTGCAGCCCAGACACACGGCTCCTACACACGCACACACACCACACACCATACACACACGCGCGCACACACACATACACACCATACGCACACACACACCACACACACACGCCACACGCACACATGCATATACACACTGCATGCACACACACACACACCCTACACACCATACACATGCACACCACACACGCACACACACCACACACGCGCGCACACACTTACACACACATACATACACACTGCACGCACATACACACGTACACACACGAACTCACACACACACACCTGTACCGCTGCCTCCTGGCGAAACGACACACAGTCAACAAGTTAGAAGGGACGTGGGACGAGGCAGAGGCAGGCGGATCTCTGTGAGTTCAAGGCCAGGCTGGACCGACAGCCTCCAAAACAATACAGAGAAACCCTGTCTGGTAAAACCAAAAAAAGAAAAGAAAAAAAAAGAAAGGACGTGGGGCACAGGTGAGCCAGGGGCTGAGCTCAGTGGGCAAAGTCGCCCTGCCAGGCTTTGGGGAGGCTGTGAAACCCCGCAGGAGAGGGGCTGGCAGCTGTTCAGAAACGGAAAGGGAACAGCCACGCCACGGGACAGCTCAGCCACCCACCCTCGGCCTCCTACGGCCAACAGCCCAGGGTCCACCCCATGGAGAAGGAAGCAAGCCCATTCACGCAGCAGAGCATCACGCAGTCGTGAAAAAGACTGGGGCTCGGACAGGTTGTCAAACAGAGGGACCCAAAGGACACAGTTTCAGCGACAGACCCAGTGGCAAAGGGCAACAGTGTGGACTCCATGACAGTGAATGTCCAGAGATGGGAAATGGGTTCCTGGTGTCAGGGAGAGCCAGGCTCAAAATAAATGGTGAAGGAGCCAGTAACGTGCCTGTGGCCATGCCCAAGATAATTGGCTTTTCATCCGCTGACCTCCACAGGAGCGCTGTGGCAAGCACACACACACACACACACACACACACACACACACACACACACACACACACACCAGCATGAATATTTAGAGATTTCAAATGTAGAATAAATAAATACAGGGCTGGAGAGATGGCTCAGAGGTTAAGAGCACTGACTCCTCTTCTAGAGGTCCTGAGTTCAATTCCCAGCAACCACATGGTGGCTCACAGCCATCTACAATTCAATCTGGTGTCCTCTTCTGGCATGTAGGCAGAACAATGTATATGTAATAAATAAATAAATCTTAAAAAAATAAATAAATAAATAAAACCAGAAACACAGCTTGGTGGGCATGTTTTGCCAACATGAACAAGGTCCTATGCATAGAACCCACCAAAAAAAAAAAAAAGAACTAAAACGCACTTTTGGACATTTTTGGAAGAGACCTTGCCTGGCCAACACACACACCAGCTCTACACAAACCAGACATGGCAAAGCGCATCCGTCACCCCAGCAGCACTGGGAGAGTAGAGGCAGGAGGACCAGGACTTCAAGGCAGGGGCTGGAGAGGCGCTCAGCGGTTAGAGTGCCGGCTGCTCCTGCAGAGGATCCGGGTTCGGTTCCCATCACCCACGGGGGGGAGGGCTGGGAAGGCCACAACCGCCTGTGACTCCAGTTCTGGGGATCCGACGCCCCCTTCCAGCCCCCGCGGGTACTGCACCCACCAGGTACAATCCCGGGAACCTTCAGTTACTGCATGCTTGAGTCACAGAATCTCACGGGGACACATACATACAAGATAAACAACTCTTTTTTTTTTTAATTTATTGATTATGTACACAGTGTTCTGCCTCCATGTATTCCTGCAGGCCAGAGGAGGGCACCAGATCTCACTATAGATGGTTGTGAGTCACCATGTGGTTGCTGGGAATTGAACTCAGGACCTCTGGAAGACCACCTGGTGTTCTTAGCCTTTGAGCCGTCTCTCCAGCCCCATAAACAATTCTTTTTTTTTTTGGTTTTACGAGACAGGGTTTCTCTGTATTGTTTTGGAGGCTGTCAGGTCCAGCCTGGCCTCAAACTCACAGAGATCTGCCTGCCTCCTCTGCCTCCCGAGTGCTGGGATTAAAGGCATGCGCCACCACCGCCCGGCTCATAAACAATTCTTTAAAATTAAAAATAAAGCAAAAAAGCTGGGCGTTGGTGGCGCACGCCTTTAATCCCAGCACTCGGGAGGCAGAGGAGGCAGGCGGATCTCTGTGAGTTCGAGGCCAGCCTGGTCTACAGAGCCAGTTCCAGGACAGCCTCCAAAACAATGCAGAGAAACCCTGTCTCGAAAAAACAAAAACAAAAAAACAAAAAACAAAAAATAAAGCAAAAAGGAAGAAACCCTAATATATGTTATATATATATATATTTTTTGTTTGTTTGTTTTTACGAGACAGGGTTTCTCTGTATTGTTTTGGAGGCTATCGGTCCAGCCTGGCCTCGAACTCACAGAGATCTGCCTGCCTCTGCCTCCCAAGTGCTGGGTTTAAAGGCGTGTGCCACCACCGCCCGGCATATACATACATGTTTAAAAATATATTTTTGGCTGGGCAGTGGTGTCTCACGCCTTTAATCCCAGTACTTGGGAGGCAGAGGCAGGTGCATCTCTGTGAGTTCGAGATCAGCCTGGTGTACATATCGAGTTACAATACAGGCTCCAAAGCTACAGAGAGAAATTCTGCCTCGAAAAAGATACATACAAATACATAAATATATATTTGGTTTTTTCTTTTTCTTTTTTTGGTTTTTCGAGACAGGGTTTCCCTATGGCTTTGGAGGCTGTCCTGGAACTCGCTTGGTAGTCCAGGCTGGTCTTGAACTCACAGAGATCCACCTGCCTCTGCCTCCTGAGTGCTGGGATTAAAGGCATGCGCCACCAATGCCTGGCATATATTTGGTTTTTCAAGGTGGTTGAAAAATATTTTGATGATGTGTCAAAAATTGGTAATTTATACCTTTGCTGCTGCTGTCGTTATTTCTTGGTGATAAACCCACAGCCACATACCAGGAGTCAGAGTCCTAGTCCTGGGCCGGTGAGGCGACTCAGCAGGGAAAGGGACCTGAGTTTGACTGTCAGAGGCACATGGTAGGAGAAGCTGACTCCTCTAGGCTGTCCTCTTACCACATGGGCACATGTGTCCACCCAAAAAATAACCAAACAAACGCAATGAAATACCACCACCAAACTAGTCAGGGACAGTGACACAGGTTTGTTATCCAACAGCTAGGGAGCTGAAGCAGGAGCAGCTCAATTTATCAACAACAACAAAACCCACTTTTGTTTTTTGAGACAGGGTTTCTCTGTGTAGCCTTGGCTGTCCCGGAACTCGCTCTGTAGACCAGGCTGGCCTGGAACTCACAGAGATCCGCCTGCCTCTGCCTCCCGAATGCCCGGATTAAAGGCGTGAGCTACCTCTGCCCAGCTAAAACCCACTCCTCAGAGACTGGAGTAATGGGGCCACAAGCCAATGTCTGCGGCCTAGCCCACACATTTGGTGAAGCAGGAAAATGCCTGTAGAGGCAGGTGGGCCCTGTCACCTCATGGACACTGGACTCTGGCCATCATGGACTCGGGTGCAGAAACTCTGAAGGAAGTCATGGCTGCTGGGCCCTGTGCGGCTTCTCCTGGTATCAGTTCCTCCCAGGGTGGCCCGGGCAGCATGCCAAGCCGTAGCCGGAGCACCAACCTCCCTCTGAAGCCGTATCTGCTTCCTGCACCCCTGGGCCTCGCTTCCCCTCTGCTGATCTGAGGGCCAGATCACACCTGGCATTGCCCCACCCTGTGACCGGCTTCCGGAAGTCTCATGTAAACAAGAGCTGCAGCGGTGTCCCCGGCTAGCGAGCCAGGGTGACAGCGCTGTCCGTCCTTATGTTTGTAATTTATTTCCCGTGTGTGTCAAGTGAGGTCAACATCAGGTGTGTCCCCCAACTGCCCTCCATCTTGTATTTGGAGGTAGGGTCTTTCACTCCGTCTGGGGCTCACCCATTAGACCAGGCTGGCAGCGCGTGAGTTCTGGCATCCCCGTCTCTGCCTCCTCACACAGCATGTCACCCGAGGAACTTTCAGAGTCCTCAGGAAGTAGGTGTGATAGCTCTGATCTGTGATGCCAGCGCTCAGGAGATCAGCCCCAGGCTGCGGGGTAAGATGCTGGTCTCAAAAACCATCATCTTGAGAGGAAATGAAACCAAACGGTGCCAGCTCCCCCCCCCCCCCCGTTTCCCGCACAGGCCGCTTGTACCCACAGAGGACTGACGGATGAGTACAGGTCTCCATAGACAGCAGAAGTCGCTTTCACCTGTTTTCATTTTATTATTTAGGTTTGTTTTGTTTTCGAGACAAGGTTTCTCTGTGTGACCCTGGCTGTCCTAGAACTCACTCTGCCTGGCCACGAACCACAGAAATCTGTGCTCCACCACTGTCCAGATAAATTTCATTTCTTTCTTTCTTTTTTTTTTTTTTACTTTTATGTGTGTTGGTGTGAGGGTGTCAGATCCCCTGGAACTGGAGTTCCAGACAGTCGCGAGCCATCATGTGTGTGCTGAGACACGTCCCCAGCCCCGTATTTATTTATTTATTTATTTATTTATTTATTTATTTATTTGGTTTTTCGAGACAGGGTTTCTCTGTGGCTTTGGAGGCTGTCCTGGAACTCGCTTGGTAGTCCAGGCTGGCCTCGAACTCACAGAGATCCACCTGCCTCTGCCTCCCGAGTGCTGGGATTAAAGGCGTGCGCCACCAACGCCCGGCTTCCCAGCCCCGTATTTAAATTCGTTAAGTATTGATTTCATGCGTGTGTCACTGCAAACATGACAGTGCTCGCCATCTAGCGTGTGGGCTCCGAGATCGACAGTTTTGGCTGCGAGCGCCCTCAAACGGTGAGCGGCCTCCTTTCCACTTCCCAATTCTCGTGGTCCCAGGGACCGTGAGTCCCGCCTCCTGCGGTATGGCCACGCCCTGAAGTCTTGCGCATGCTCCGTCGGTATCGGTCGCTGTTCACCTTTGATTCAGGAGGAACCATTGTCTTTTTCTCTACCAGGGAGGTAGTCGGAGAGACTTCTTTCGGAGGAAGACCGGAAGTCGCTTCGGCCTGGTCACGTGGCCACTAAAATGGCGGCGCCCAGGATGCGCTGTGCGAGCCGCGGCTGCTGAGCGTCCTCGGCGTCCGTGGCACTGCCCCCGCGATCCGCTTCGTGCGTGAGGAGCGCAGCGAGGGCACGGTGAGGGCGCCCCCGCCTCGCCGAGAACGCTCCGGACGCCCGCCGCCGCCTGCGCGGCGGGGCGGGGGCGCCGGGGCCGGGGCGGGGGCGCCGGGGCCGGGGCGGGGGCGCCGGGGCCGGGGCGGGGGCGCCGGGGCCGGGGCGGGGGCGTCGGGGCCGGGGCTGGGCAGGGGGCGTTGGGGGCGGGGCCTGTGGCGTCGGGGCGGGGCGTCGGGGGCGGGGCGTCGGGGAGGGGGCGGGGCGGCGCCGGCTGCGTGGGTCAGCCCGGGGAGCAGTCTCGGTGTGACGTCCGTGGGGCCGAGGCGGCCATGAGTCCACGCTGGGCGCCCTTTTCTTCCTCGGGGATCGCGTGGTGGATATTCAGGCTTGGGGGGCGCCCCGACCCGCGGCACCCCGTCACCTCTCGGGTTTCTGCTGCAGGTTACGGGAGCCCGCCGTGGCTGGCGCTAGCGGGGAGACGGTCGCCATGGTGACGGAGCAGGAAGTGGAGGCCATAGGGAAGACCCTGGTGGACCCCCAGGAGCCCCTGCAGGCCCGCTTCCGGGCGCTGTTCACTCTGCGGGGGCTCGGGGGCCCGCACGCCATCGACTGGATCAGCCGAGGCTTCCAGGACAGCTCTGCCCTGCTGAAGCACGAGCTGGCCTACTGCCTGGGCCAGATGCAGGACTCTCGCGCCATCCCGGTGCTGGTGGAGGTTCTGTGCGACACCAGCCAGGAGCCCATGGTGCGCCATGAGGCCGGTGAGTGGCGGCCACCCCGTGCCAGCGCTGACCCGGTCCTTGGCGCACTCTGCCCCGCGCCCCACGCTTGTGGCGCCCCCGGTGAGAGCGGGGTGGGGGCTCTAGCTCCGGCAGGGAGGAAAACCCGCGCCTACTGCCTTGTGTCCCCAGGGGAAGCCCTAGGGGCCATCGGTAACCCGGAAGTCCTAGACCTCCTGAAGCAGTATTCTTCCGACCCGGTGGTAGAGGTGAGGACCCTGAGTGGCCCCGGCCTGGTTGCCAGGACAACCTGGAAAGGTGTAGGAATGGGGGCGTGTAAGGGGGGCAGCGCCACCCCTAAGCCGACCCCACAGCTCCGTCCCCGGCCCGTTCTGTCCTCTGCGGGCGCCCAGGCTCGTACGAGCGAGCCTGCAGCCCTATGGCCCCTGCCGCGTCCAGTTGTGGAGGCCGCGCTGCGCGCCATGTGTCTGTCTACTGGCCGCGGCTGTGGGTCCTCGTGGGCACCCGAGCATGTGTCTGTCCCCGGCCGCCTCCATTCCGGGGGCCTCTGGACGCAGCCGAGCGCCTACTCACGTCCAGCCCGAAGCCACCAGCCTTGCGCCGCCGCAGGTCCGGGAGAGGGGACGGGCCAGCCGTGCCCATGCTCCCGGTGTCCTCCCTCGTAGGTGGCTGAAACATGCCAGTTGGCCGTTGGGCGTCTGGAGTGGCTGCAGCAGCACCCCGGCGAGGCCGCAAGTTCAGGACCCTACCTCTCCGTGGACCCGGCACCCCCTGCGACAGAGCGGGACGTGGGGCGGCTGCGGGAGACGCTGCTGGACGAGTCGCAGCCGCTCTTTGAGCGGTACCGTGCCATGTTCGCCCTGCGCAACGTTGGTGGCGCGGAGGCGGCCTTGGCCCTGGCTGAAGGTGAGGCGGGGACCTGGGGAGGGAAGCCCCGGGTGGTCGCGCAGGTTCCCACCCAGCTGTCCTGACCCACGGTCCGCGCTCCCTGCAGGCCTGCGCTGTGGCAGCGCGCTCTTCCGCCACGAGGTGGGCTACGTGCTGGGCCAGCTGCAGCACGAGGCAGCCGTGGGCGAGCTGGCGGCCACCCTGGCGCGGACCTCCGAGAGCGCCATGGTGCGGCACGAGTGCGCGGAGGCCCTGGGTGCCATCGCCAGGCCCGCTTGCCTGACAGCGCTGCGGGCTCACGTCACCGACACGGAGCGCGTGGTGCGGGAGAGCTGCGAGGTGGCGTTGGACGTGTACGAGCATGAGCGCCGCCTGGACTTCCAGTATGCAGACGGACTGGAGCGCCTGCGGCCCCCGCAGTGACAGCCGCACCAGGGACGGCGCCCAGGATGCCACTGTCACGGTCACGTGCCTTCCTTCTGTGGCTCCAGCGGCGCCCACGGCCCGGACTTAGCGGCTTTGTTTCCTGCCTCGCTGGGCGCTGGCACAGTGCGTCCTCCTGGTGCTGTCCACCCGTGACCTTGTCACCCGCGCGCGCTGCAGCCTGGCACCCAGTGTGGAAGCTTCCGGATGTCAGGGAATGAGGCTTGAGATGTGGGGACCCGGGGTTGGCGACCACTTCTGACTTCACGGGGCAGCACATGGGGCGCTCACATCCAGGCACTGCATAAATAAATAAGTTGGTCGGCGCGTGTGCCATGCAGGGCTTGGCGTTGTGTTGTGCACAAGGAGGTCGCTGTGAAACTGCCGCTGCTGGGCAGGTGTGGACAGATGTCCAGGACGCCGTGTCGCCGGTGACACCCGGAACGTCTGCCGCACTCCTGTGGGTCAGCTGGGCCCGCGCACTCATCGTCGGTCTCAGCCGGGTGGCAGCCATGCCCCGTGAAGCGGGCTTTAGCCCTTAGCATGTGGTACCTGAGCGGGAGCCCCGCGCCATCCCTCGGCCTCGCCTGCTCTTTTCCAGGCTGGGTATCTTGTAGCCCAGGCTGTCCCTGAACTCCAACCCGTAGGTAGCACAGGATGGCTGACCCTGGTCTCCCTGCCTCCACCAGGGCTGTGATGGCAGCTACGCACCGCCGTGGGCAGCCTTGCTTGAATCTGGGTGCACTGCATAGCCCAGGCTGGAGCGGAATTCATGGCAATCCTCCTGCCTCAGCCTCCGGGTGTCAGGGTCGCAGATGGTGGCCCTGGCTTGCTCCAGTGCTCTTCCTGGCTGCCCTCACAGCAGCCTCCTCGCCCGCGGATGGGTGACCTCCTCCCGGCCACCCTCCTGCCTGGTCGGGGGAGGGGCGAAGCTCATCTACAGACCACAAAGCCCATCATCTTGTATCCACCTCAGCTGCAGCCTTGAAGCCAGAGGGTGGCACATGGGGTGACACCAACCCCTTGTCCCAGGGTCAGGACCCTACCGGAGCCTAGGGCAGTCAGCGCGCAGCGGCTCTCAGAACTGGATTTGAGCCAGGCCTCTCGGGAGCGCCCAGGTGGCATCCTGTCGCCTCTAGACCCCCAGGGCTCCACCCCACAGCCAGCCACAGCCGCTGTGCCCACTGGGGGACCCACCCTACACCCGTCCTCCCCACGGCAGCCACCAGAGGGCGCGCGTGAGAGCCCTGGCTGCTTGCTGTCCCCAGGCTCCCCAGGCCCTGTCTACCTTGGGGTGCCACCTTGTCCCTCTCCCTCAGCCGCGGCCTCCTGCAGGCTCCGGCTGCCCCAGGGCATTTGCGCGGGCGCGAGGCACAGGGCTGAGCTGTGAAGTCCCCGGTTCTTCGTCACACGTGAAGCCATCAAGGGAGGGGCCGGACAGATGGGAGCAGCAGTCCTAATCCTTTCAGCTGATCCCCTAATCTGCCTGGGGCTCGCGGGGTGGGTGTCACTGGCCATGGCGGGGTCCGCCGTGAGGGAGGCGGAGGGCTGGAGCCCGGCCCCGGCCATGTACGAGGAGTACCGGCCGCCCCCCCTGGACGCCATCCGCCTGCCTCGCTATGCTCTGTACCTGCTGATGGCCGCCGTCCTGGTGGTGGCCGTGGCCTACGCCATCGTCGGCCACCTCATCAAAGACCTCGCTCACGACCTGGCGGGTGAGCCACGCTCCCCTCTGCCGCCGGCATGCGACGGACGCTGGCCCCGGGCCAGCGGTGGGTCAGGGTGGCAGGCCCGAGGGTGGGCGGGGCCGGGGCGAGCAGGGCCACGGGGTGGGCACAGGGGCCCGAGGGTGGGCGGGGCCGGGGCGAGCAGGGCCACGGGGTGGGCACAGGGGCCCGAGGGTGGGCACAGGGGCCCGAGGGTGGGCACAGGGGCCCGAGGGTGGGCGGGGCCGGGGCGAGCAGGGCCACGGGGTGGGCACAGGGGCCCGAGGGTGGGCGGGGCCGGCCACGCCCTCACCGCTCTGCTCCTCCGCAGACTGGGCCTTTGGTCCTAAGCCGGACCAGGAGGACGGCCCCCGGGAGCTGCGGGCGAGCCTGGCCGCAGAGGACCTGGAGGAGCTGGACCTTCAGCTGGCCCTGGCCTGGCGCGGGGAGGAAGACCCTGCCCGGGCTCCTCGCCGACCCTCCATCGCGTTCCGGGACCCGCCCGTGCAAACCGCCTGTCGGAGGCCAGACTGACCCGGAGGACTGAGCCCACCGCCGAAGTTGGGCCACCTGTGTGTAACATGTCCAGTGTGACAGGGTCTGCTGACTTGAAACTCACAGTACCGTTGCCTCAGCTGTCGCTGAGAACGCAGACGCCACCCTACCTTGTTAAGACACTCCGATAGCGTCTCACAGAGCCCAGCTAGCCTCGAATAACCCCTGGTCCTCCTGTCTCCACTCCCAGTGCTGGGATGACAGTCACCACCGGCTGTGCTCACTGGGCCAGCCCCAGGTCCTGATATTTTTTCTCCATCATGAATAACTCATGCCAGAGACTCCTTCTGCATTAGGAGTATCTGCTGAGAGGAGAAAATGAGGCCAAATTTAGATACAAATTTAAAGTGAGTCCTGGGCTGGAGAGATGGCTCAGAGGTTGAGAGCACTGACTGCTCTTCCAGAGGTCCTGAGTTCAATTCCCAGCAACCACATGGTGGCTCACAGCCATCTGTAATGAGATCTGGCGCCCTCTTCTGGCCTGCAGGCATATGTGTAGACAGAACATGACATTAAAAAATACATACATTTTTGTTTGCTTTTGGTTTTGTTTTGAGACAGGATCTCTCTGTGTAGCCATGGTTGTCCTAGAACTTGCTCTGTAGACCTGGCTGGCCTCAAGCTTCACCCAGCACCTTCCAGGCCTGCCTGTCTGGGCTCCTAATGGACTGCTTGGACAGAGAGTTCTCAGCACACGATGGGTATACAGTAGGGGTTTAATATCTGCCTGCCTGGCTGGCTATGCCCAGTGTTCATCTGAAGGATCCTAGTTTCTGTCACTGGATATACAGAGGGACATCTATAAGCGTTCTCAAAACAGTTTTAAATCTTTTAGTTTAGAATTATTCTACATATGTTTCAAGCCAGGCATGGTAGTGTCTTTAATCCCAGCACTCGGGAGGCAGAGGCAGGAGGATCTCTTGAGTTCAAGACCAGCCTGGTCTATAGAGCGAGTTCCAGGACAGCCTCCAAAACAATACAGAGAAACCCTGTCACAAACAAAACAAAACAAACAAAAATGTCCAGACAGTGGGAGTCTGGCCTTGAACTTGGTGTGTTCTGGGGCTGTCCCTTGAAGTCCTGTGTCCCCTGCCTTCACCTGAGTGCGGGGTGACAGACCTATGGCAGCCCACCTGGCTGCAGCACAGCTTTCTGACCTGGAGCCCAGGTCAGGTCTGCATCTAGCCATCCTTTGCTTCAGGCTTCCCGTGTGGGGATGACAGGCATATGATGACAAAGCCCTGTCTTAACAGTCTCTTTCACGTGCCCAGGCTGTGGCTGCTCCCGTGAGGCCCCTGGGTGGGGTCCCCCTTTGCCCAGGTGGGGCTCACTATCTAATCAGGCTGAGGCCCAAGGTTGAGGGCAGGGGCATGAGTGTGTCGTTATCCAGACTCCGATCCCTGTGTGCTCAGCTCTGCCATGACCTTGAGGGTCCCAGACCTAAGAGTCTGGTGCTGGCCAAGCTACCAGCCCTGCTGGGCTGACTTCCCAGGCCTGGCGCTGCAAAGCTGGTCCCAGCCACCAAGTCTGACTGCGACACCCGGCTGTGTGTACTTGTAAGGGCATGGGATGTCTCGTCTGTGCAGCCTGACCTCTCTCAGGAGATTCGGGGGACCTGTCACCAGTGGCTGGCCCAGGGCTGCTCGTCTCCAGGGCAGGATACAAGGGACAGTCCGGGTTAATATTAACCCAGCTGCAGACTCTGCCCTCCAGGACCGAAGGGGCCTGATGCCCAGCCAGGTAAGCACAGGAGGCCAGGCCACCACCCCCGCCCCCCACACCACCCCGTGCCCGCCCTGTCTTAACCCCACCCGGGGCTCAGGCCGCTCACACCAGCCACCGGACGCCGACCTGTCTGCAGCGCGCTGGCCATGGACACCCTGGGCAGGCTGCTCCTCCTGGCTGCACTGCTGCTGGCACCCGCCGAGGCCCAACAGGGTAGGACTGGGGTGGCAAGCCCTGGGGTGCGGGTCGGCGGAGGGCTGGGGCTGGGGCTCTCCGCTGCCTCATTTCCCGTGAGGAAAAACAGGCGCGGAGAGGGTACAGGAAGAAGAGAAAGTGTGAAGGGGCGGCCCCCGTGGGACTAGCACTCCCCTGGGCCTGCGATCTCCGTCCTTCTCTCCCGTCTGAGGGCCCCGCCCTCCAAGCCCCCTGGGCTCCCTGCGTGCCCCGCCTTCCTCAAGACCCCTACCCTCTGGGAGCTAACCCTTTCATTAAGGCCCCTCCCTTCTCCGCAGGCCCCTCCCTTCTCCGCAGGCCCCTCCCCTCTCCGCAGCCCCACCTCTTCCTGCGGGACCCTCCCCTCTCTGCAGGCCCCTCCCTTCTCCGCAGGCCCCGCCTATACCCGCAAGCCCCGCCTATTCCCGCAAGCCCCGCCTATACCCGCAGGCCCCGCCTCTACCTCCAGGCCCCTCCCTTCTCCGCAGGCCCCGCCTCTCCCTGCAGGTTCCTCTCTTCCCGGGGCCCCTCCTTTCTCTCGCTGACCCCTCCCGCCCTCCACAGCCTCAGAGCGCCGCCTGAAGCCCTGGCTGGTGGGCCTGGCCGCTGTAGTGGGCTTCCTGTTCATAGTCTTCGTCCTCATGCTGGCCAACCGTGTCTGGTGTTCCAAACCCAGGTGAGGACCCGACCCTGCCCACCCGGGCCGCTCGCTCGTAGCCTCTGCACCAGTACCGTCCCAGGGTCACCCTGCAGGTTGCCTTGCTTCCCGCCCCTTGCCGGTCCCTCGTGGTTCATGGAGGTCATGACTTAAGCTGAGCACAGGCAGCCTCCAGCTCACATAACCCTGTCTTTTCACCGCTGCAGACCAAACGATGAAGAGGTCACAGTCAGAATGGAGGCCAGTGTGAAGGAGCACACGGAGCCAAGGTACCCTGTGGGGGCCACGTCCAGCCAGTAGCATGGGGAGGCCCAGCTGTGGCGGGGAGAGTGCCAAGCAAGTCTGCTCTGGTCCAGGAATCCATAATGCAAGTTCTGGATCCAGGAGAGGGAAAGCAGTGGGGGAAACAGCGGGAACAGGCAGATGAGCCCCGTGACCCTGAGTGATTCCCGAGGAAGGGAGGGGAGAAAACCCAGACAGTGCCAAGAACACAGCTGTGAGCCCACGCTACAACACAGTTTCCATCACTCCATTCAACCATCCACCATATACCTCACCAACAAAGCACCTATCCACCCATCCACAAAATCAGCCATCCATCATTCCACCCATCTCTGCACCCATCCATCCACCCCAATTCCATCCAGCCCTCCACCCACCAAAACTGCCAGCCAGTCAGGCATCCAACTGTCCACCCATCCATGAATTTATCCATCCATCCACCCATCCATTAATCCACGTATCCACCTATTTAACCATTGACCCACCTACCCTCCCATCCATCCACCCATCCACTAATCCATCCATCCACCCATCCACCCACCCTCCCATCCATCCACCCATCCATCCATCCATCCATCCACCCATCCACCCATCCACCCATCCACCCATCCATCCATCCACCCATCCACCCATCCACCCATCCATCCACCCATCCATCCATCCACCCATCCACCCATCCATCCATCCACCTATCCATCCAGCCACCCATCCATCCATCCACCCATCCATCCATCCACCCATCCATCCACCCATCCACCCATCCATCCATCCACCCATCCATCCATCCATCCACCCATCCATCCATCGACATCCATCCACCCATCCACCCATCCATCCATCCACCCATCCATCCATCCATCCACACATCCATTAATCCACGTATCCACCTATTTAACCATTGACCCACCTACCCTCCCATCCATCCACCCATCCACTAATCCATCCATCCACTAATCCATCCATCCACCCATCCACCCACCCTCCCATCCATCCACCCATCCACCCATCCATCCATCCACCCATCCATCCACCCATCCACCCATCCATCCATCCACCCATCCATCCACCCATCCACCCATCCATCCAGCCACCCACCCATCCATCCATCCATCCACCCATCCATCCACCCATCCACCCATCCATCCATCCACCCATCCATCCACCCATCCACCCATCCACTAATCCATCCATCCACCCATCCATCCATCCACCCATCCATCCACCCATCCATCCATCCACCCATCCATCCAGCCACCCACCCATCCATCCATCCATCCACCCATCCATCCATCCACCCATCCACCCATCCATCCATCCATCCACCCATCCATCCATCGACATCCATCCACCCATCCACCCATCCATCCATCCACCCATCCATCCATCCATCCACACATCCATCCATCCACACATCCATCCATCCACCCATCCACCCATCCATCCATCCACCCATCCATCCATCCACCCATCCATCCACCCATCCACCCATCCATCCAGCCACCCACCCATCCATCCATCCATCCACCCATCCATCCACCCATCCACCCATCCATCCATCCACCCATCCATCCACCCATCCACCCATCCACTAATCCATCCATCCACCCATCCATCCATCCACCCATCCATCCACCCATCCATCCATCCACCCATCCATCCAGCCACCCACCCATCCATCCATCCATCCACCCATCCATCCATCCACCCATCCACCCATCCATCCATCCATCCACCCATCCATCCATCGACATCCATCCACCCATCCACCCATCCATCCATCCACCCATCCATCCATCCATCCACACATCCATCCATCCACACATCCATCCATCCACCCATCCACCCATCCATCCATCCACCCATCCATCCATCCACCCATCCATCCATCCACCCATCCATCCATCGACATCCATCCACCCATCCACCCATCCATCCATCCACCCATCCATCCATCCATCCACACATCCATTAATCCACGTATCCACCTATTTAACCATTGACCCACCTACCCTCCCATCCATCCACCCATCCACTAATCCATCCATCCACCCATCCACCCACCCTCCCATCCATCCACCCATCCACCCACCCTCCCATCCATCCACCCATCCACCCATCCATCCATCCATCCATCCACCCATCCATCCACCCATCCATCCATCGACATCCATCCACCCATCCACCCATCCATCCATCCACCCATCCATCCATCCATCCACACATCCATCCATCCACACATCCATCCATCCATCCATCCACCCATCCATCCATCCATCCATCCATCCATCGACATCCATCCACCCATCCACCCATCCATCCATCCACCCATCCATCCATCCATCCACACATCCATCCATCCACACATCCATCCATCCACCCATCCACCCATCCACCCATCCATCCATCCACCCATCCATCCATCGACATCCATCCACCCATCCACCCATCCATCCATCCATCCACCCATCCATCCATCCATCCACACATCCATCCATCCACACATCCATCCATCCATCCATCCATCCACCCACCCACCCATCCATCCATCCACCCACCCATCCACCCATCCATCCATCCACCCATCCATCCATCCACCCACCCACCCACCCATCCATCCATCCACCCATCCACCCATCCCGTCTCTGCAAAGTACTTGGTTCCTCTCCTGCTGGGCCACCCTGAGGTCACTGCAGCCCTGGAGACTGTGCTTTCAGGGCCTGACCCTTTCACCCCGTGAGCAGTGACACATTCTCACTGTGGTCCCTGAACTCCACAGTAAAACAGAGAAGAAGAAGAAGAATCAGAAAAAGCAGGTGGACAGGAAGAGTGGTCGCAGCAACGAGGGCTTGGAACTGGAGGAGAAGGGTTCCTCAGATGACGAGAGAGACAAGAAAACAGCCCTGTGAAACTCCTGCGTGGGGGTGGGGTCGGGTGGCGGCTCCTTTGACACCAAGGAGCAGCTGTCATGGAAATCGAGACTGGTGACACCTGGATCTCAAAACTGTCTCCAAATGAGGCCAGCTCTGCACGCCATGTGTGCGTCTACCATCCACCCCTCCCCCATCCGTGCAGTCACCGTCAGCCGGTGTCCTCTCCCAGCCCTCTGCTAGCCCCAGCCTGTGGTACCTCCACCCAGCTCCCTCCAGGCAGGGTCCTGGCGTCACCCGTCTGAGCGTTTGCTTTTCCCCAGTGGCCCTGAGCCCGAGCCGGAGCCCCTGTGCAGCTCCTGGAAGGCCTCTAACCCTCTAGTGGAATTGTTTCTAGGAGGAGAGACGCCCTGTGCTTTTCAGCCAGGGTCTCTCTTCTCTGGACTCTGGCCCCCATGGTCACCTGGCTCATTGTGTGACCAGGGGAGGCTGTTTTCAGGGGACACTTCCAGCAAAGGCCACCAGGAGGAACCTTCCAGCACTCTCACTTAATAAATACCCTGAATGCTCTTGTTGGTTCCTTTGTGTAGGTTTAGGACGCCAAAGCCCAGAGCAGGAGTCCCAGGCCACCAAGGAGCTGGGCGCGGGTGAGCTGTAGGCAGAGACATCTAGTAGGTTCTCATGAAGGTTTTAGAGTCACCTGGGCTATTCTGGGATGCTGTGTGGCCCTGGAAATGTGGTCCAACCTCTCTGAAATCATTGCTCAGCAGTGATCAGGAGGCAGGGTCCTGGGACATTTTCCTTCCAGCCCCTCTGGCAGAACTAGTGGAGCCTAAGGGTCACAGGGGACCCTCAGCTCTTTGCTTTAGGTAAAGGGATTAGGTTCTTTCTTATTTTGAGACAAGGTCTCATGTAGCCCAGGCTATCCTCAAATTTTCCATGAGCCAAGGATGACCCTGAACTCCTGATCCTCCCGCCTTCAGACAAGCCTGAGCCACCCTGCAGTTCCTATGGGGCTGTCTATAGCAGAGCTGGCCGTTTGTCTTCTAGCCAAGACTCACTTCCCCCTGAGCCTGGTGAGCAGGCCCCAGCAGCAGGCAGCTTGGGGAGCTGGGGAGAGGCCACATGTGGGGCCTGGGGCAGCCTCCCCTTCCCGAGTCAGCCCGAGCTCTTTATGGACACACAGAAAGGAAGACCCAAGACACCGCGGGGAGTTGAAGCTTAAGCTTGTTTAATTTTTATACATTTTTCTTTCTTTTATTTATTTTTTTTTGCCTTTTGTTGAATCTTTTATGGAACCCCCGTCTCTTTTTTTCTTGTTTTTTTTTTTTGCATAGGGAGAAACACAACAGCAGGCAGTCAATGGTGCTTAGGCGCGTCCACAAAACAAAACAAAACACCAGAAACCAAGATGAGTTTGTAATATGTGCAGCTGTGATGGAGCATGCTGTGGGCGGAGGGTGAAGGACCAGGGCTGCCTCTGCTCCCCATCAGACCCCCACTGCTGGGGGATGGGGAGAGGTCACCACAGACCTCAAAGGTGTGTTTGTGAAAAGCTCAAGGCCAGAGATGCAACAACCAAGGAGCAAAATACAGAATGGTTGACTGGAACGAAAATCTCAGATCACCGCAAATGATTTCGGCAGGAAAATGAAAAGGCCAGCCTTACCACCAAGAAAACGGGGGTGCGGGGAGTGACTTAGGGAACAGCCCCACGTTCCCCCGCCCAGGCTCTCAAACCCAGTGCTCATCCAGGCGCTGCTCACACTGCGAACCTCAGACTAGTGGGACTTGTTTGGGGGTGCTGCTGCCTGGCTGGGTCTGATGCTGGATGGGGTGTGAGGTTTTGGGGGTGTCCAGCTGGGTCGCCCAAGCTGGGGTAGTGAGGCTGGGTGCTGGGGGAGGGGTGGTGGCTTGGGGGCGTGTGCCTTCCTCTGTCAGCACACCCGCTGTCTGAGGGGAGCAGGGGAGGACCCCGAAACTGCTCCATCAGACGTGTGAGGCACTGACTGGGAAACGGCTGCCTGCTATCGGGCTACAACACTGGCGACTCCGTGTGAGCCCCCCTCCCACCTCGCCCGCCCCTGCCTGTGCCTGGGGACAAGGGGACCGAGGGGCGAGGTCAACCACTGACAAGCGGGGCCTGAGGCCTGGGCAGTTTGTAAAGGACAAGGGTAGGACATCAGGAGTGGCGGTGCATGCCTGTTGTCAGAGCAAATGGAACACAGAGGCAGGAGGATTGCCATGAGTTGGAGGCCAGCCTGGGCTACCTGGCAAGGCTTTCCTGTCTCAAGATAACAAAATAATCAGTGGGAGAATTAAGTGGCTGAACCTGGGACCCAGCACCGGAAGAAGGGACAACTCACTGGGCGTCCTGGGGACAACTGGAACAAAGAGACAAAGCCACTGTGTCCGGCACTGCGGGATTAATCCCTACTAAGTGTGTGTACACACACAGCACAGCCATCCGGAGCCCGGGACATTTGCTGGAGGCCTGGCGTGTCTTCCCTGGGGACACACGTTAGGCACCAGAGGGAGGCAGTCAGGTGACTCTGTCTTTGAGGGGAGCTGATGTTATTCCTGTCACCCCGAGCATTCCTGATTATCAAGCTCAAGACGTCAGGGCTCAGGAACCCAGATGTCTTTTGGTCCCCAAGTGGAAAACAGGGTCACAGGCTAGACCCCAAGCAGTAAGCTGTGGGGGCTCCACCAACTCGTGATGCCAGGTTAGGGGATGGCCAAGGGATGGTGGTCTGAGGAGGGCTGGTTTGAAAAATGCTAGTTTGACACACAGAAAATAAAGCCCAAATCCCAACAACCTGTCCCACCTGAGAGTCCTGGCCAGTGTGGGGTCCGCAGGTACCTGGGTGGGAATTGGAGATTTTCTGAGAAATGGGATCTGAGCAATCCTTCCCAACCTGCCTCCAGGCACTTTCTGTGCACCAGCCTACCCTGCTGCTGTGGGTAGCTCCTGAGGGGTGGTGCCGCTAGTTCCTCCTACCGCCCCGCCCCGTGGACGACCCACTTTCTGGGGGTGGAGAAGGAATAAAAGAAAAGCCAGAGGTCAGCCACAGGGACAGGTGATGGCCCTGCCCAGGCCAGGGTGGGTGTGAGGTGGGCCTGTGATCGTCTGATACTGCCCAACACTCAGATGGGTGCGTGGGGGACCAGCTGCCAGTGGGGGTCAGAGGAGGCAGGGGAATGGCTTAGAGCCGGGACTCCTGTCTGCCCGGCTAGCCCCTGACTATTGTCTTAGCTTTGGTGAAGTTTTAAGAGCAGAGTTAACACAAGACAGAAAAACAAAAATCCAAAGGCAACCACAAACAACAAAACCAAAAAGGAAAAGAAAATTGAAATCATGGACATGACAATGGCCTTCCCAGCAGCAGGACAGAGACCACCGTGTCCCTGCTGCCCCCAGTGCCCTGGCTGGGACGCCCCACAGCTAAACTCAACCCACTGACAGACAGACAGATATTGCATATATTCAGCTTTGTGGGTTGGCTGGAAGACAGGGAGGGAGGAAGGGACGGCCTCCCAGGCTTTCCCTGGGATGGGAGGGGTGGTGAGGAAGGGCCTGAGAGCCCTATATCCCTGGGGAGGGGACTCGGGGACCCCTCAGAGCTGGGGTGGTGGATCAGCACCAGGGAGAGTCCTGTCCCCACTTCGAGGGGTGAGGGTGGCGGGGCTGAGTTGGGATCTGCAAGCCATGAACAACATTGTAACTTCCTTAATAGTAGTTTTTCTTTGTAGTTTTTGGTTTCTTCCTTCCTTTCTTTTACTTGAGGCAGTGGCTCACTCTGTAGCCCAGGCTGGACCTGGAACTCACAGCAATCCTTCTGCCTCAGCTTCCAAAGGGTTGGGATTACAAGCATGTGCTACCATGCTCAGTCTTTTTTTTCTTTTATAAAAAATTTTTTTTTCTTCTTTTGATTTTCTTTTACAAATAGAAATACCACCCTTTTGGATTTTATTTTTTATTTCATGTAGTTGCTTGTCTGTTTGTAACTATGCGTGCAGGGCATGCGTCTGTGTGCGCAGATATTATTGAAGTTAATACTTGTCCTCGGGAGAGCAAGGCACATGTCGTGGTAGAAAGTTCGTGCAAATTCGGAAATAATGAATTTTTTTTGGTAAGGATATATATATTTTTTGTGTATCCTTTTTTTTCCTTTTTTAGTAGAGGAGGTGAGGCGCGGGCAGGGCAGACCGGGTAGAGCTGTCATGCACGCAGCAGCCCGGGGGGGGATCTCTCGGGTGTCGCGGGGCCTTAAGCACCATGCAGTTAGGTAAATAGTTGGTTCTATCCTGACCCCTGGGGGACCAGCTGGCTGGCTTGGGAGGGGTCAAGAGGGTCTGGCCAGGTCCACCCTGTCCCATACCCACCGGCCTCAGCCCTACACCTGGACAGTGACCTCCGAGATGTCCCCAATGGTCCCCTCTGTTGGAGGGTCCCTGAGGACAGATGGACAGATGAGTGGGGTTCGAGGCCTCAAAGGCTGGGTAAGCATCTTGGGGGGCTTGGTATGTTCAAGTGGCCTCCCCCTGGTCCCCAGGGGGACAGTGGGTGGAGGGGCCTGGCTCCAAGGGCTCTGCTACGTGATGGCTTGGTGCCTTGGTGGGCAGGGACGTAGGCATGATGGGACAAAGATGGGTGGTTGGGGAGGAGGGGCCTTTGTGGGGCCAGTGCCCCTAAAATACCCAACTTCCCCTCCCAGGGCAGCCCACCCAAGACGGGACCCAGGTGGGTGTGGACGGGGCTGCAGAGCTGGGGTGGGGACACGTGTCTCGCGCCCCCGTCTTAGTGTTTTTTAGGTCGCCCATCACTCGAAGAGCCCTCCACCCGGGTCTGAAAGACACTTCCACCAGCCTTCTTGGTCCCTGTGCTGGGCCTCACATCATCAGGGGGTCAAAGTGCAAAGGGGTATATCCCCCTGCAGTGAGGCCCCCAGGGCGGGTCTCCAGGAAGTAAGGCACTGGCAGACGGGTGGGGACAGCACACAGCCCCAGCCTGGGCTTGGGGATGCCCAGCCGCATCCCTGGGGTCCCATCTCTCTAGCTTGGAGGGCGTGGCGATGAGGAGCATGGGGACGAGGTGGGCTGCCCTGGCCACTGTGTCCCTGATGGATGAGGGGGTCGGCGGGTGGGCGGAGGGGTTAGGCACTTAGTTCGCGGCACCTCCCGCCTCCGGGGGCCTCGGCGTGGGGGTCCCGGCTCCCCACCTCTGTCTCTCAAAGTGCTAACACTTCCCACGTGTGAGAGGAGGCGGGGCGGGAGCTGCGTGGCATCTCATGCCGGGGTGGGGCTGGGGACAAATTGCATAGAGAGATGTGTCCTTCCAAACGAGGTCCACAAGGAGAGGGGACCAGAGGGCCGAGGCAGAGGCTGACAGGACCCTCCCAGGGGTCCCAAAGTACCTGTGGCACATCTGTCCCCAGCAGGGCCAGCGCTGGGCAGCTCCGTGCTCTCCAGGACTCTGCTGCCGACACTGGGGTCGCATCCACCTCCTCCGCCAGCACCGCCTCCAGCCTCCTGTCTTTGGCAAACGCCGTCGGTGGGGACGGCCAGCGGAGGTCCCCCGAGGCTGGCGCTGGTGGCTGGGGCAGAGGTCTGGGGGTGATGTGGTCCTCGGGGCGCAGAGGGGCTGCAGGCAGCTGCCCATCAGCAGCAGGAGCCACAGCGCGCCCACCTTTTGTCTTGGTTGGGAAGGTTTTCCTCTTTCTTTCTTCTCCTTTTTGTCCTTTTCTCCTCCTGTATGTCTGTCTTTTCAGTTGCTGGGAGTCGGCAGGGAGCTTCTCGCTCATTCTAATTTTCCACTGAAAATGCAGGCTTGGGCCATAACCTCCGGGACTCCCCCGGCGATGGAGACTTGGGAGGGCGAACTCGGCTATCCCAGGTACCAGGACTGGCAGAGATAGGGAGAGAGAACCTGGGTGTTAGGAGTGAGCAGCTGCCCCCCCACCCCCGCACCTCAGAGACCCCTGTATGCAGACCACGATCCCAGGACACACGTCAGACGCCCCTTTCAGAGACGCTATGCCCGGCGAGTCGTCAGAGACAAGTATGTCCTGTGTGACGTGTAAGTACTTCCTTTGTGGTCTCAGACTCGGGGAGCGCATCTTGTGTGAGGCCAGACTCGCAGCACCGGTCCAGGCGCTCATGCGCGCAGGGACGCGGTGCAAGCACATCTCCTGCAGGACTGGGCATAGGCAGTCCCAGGTGACATCAGAGACCCCTCAGTGTGACTACAGTAAGGCTGTGGATGTCACGCGTCCTGTGTGCTCTGCTACCTCAACTCTACCCTGGGGTTCGTGGTGGAGGCTGTGAAAGGGGCATGCATGGGAGGCTCCAATTGTGGCTCATTATTAGACCAAGCTAGCCTAGAACTCCCTGTGGACCCAGGATGGCCTTGAACTTATCACTCTGCCTCAGTTGCCCCAGTGCCGGCTTTGCCGCCACACTGGGATTATCTGTCTTTTTAGCAGTCACGCCCTACCCCCGTCAGCCATGAAGTTGCTGGCTGGGCTCAGAGGTGGACAAGAACCAGCTTGGATTGGTTTGGCTTCAAGGCCACTTGGTTATCAGCAAGCAGTGTCCTGGGAGTCTGGACTGGCCTGTGGCGAAGTCCCGCCAATAACTACAGCAAGAGGGGTCCCTGCCTGGGGCCTCATGAGGGGGGCGGGGCAGGGTGGCCTGAGAGGCAGCGCCTCTGTAGGCCCGCCCCCAGCCAAGTTCAGCCTCCTGTGTCCCTTACCTCATGTCTGGTTTCCGTTGGCAACCAGACAGGCTGGGGTGTGACCCTGGCCTGGTGCTGGACTGCGGCTTCCCTGGGGACCCAGAGCCTGCCATGCCGACAGAGGGGGGGACCGAGGCAGTGGGAGGCAGCCAGGGCCTCAGTCCCTGGGGTTATTTGTTATGAGGGTCCGGGGTGGGGTGGGGGGACCAAGGTCTCGGTGTACGGATGGGGGCAGGGAGGGAGCCAGGCTGCCAGGAGAGGCTGAGCCAGGAATAACAATGTAGACAGCCAGGAAGTGCTGACTGGGCAGAAAGAGCTGAGGCCCAGAGCCAAGGCAGGGGCCTGGAGGAGGGGGGGAAGCCCACACTGGCAGCCTCCTGATTTCCCAGGTGGGGGTGGTCCGGATCTTGTCCACCCTATAACCCCTGCCCCCTCCTGCCTCAGGGAGCCCGTCTGTGCTCCCCCCCACTACAGCCTTCTGTGGCTGTCAGTGCGTGAGGAGCCCCACGTCCTCCTCACGCCAGCTCGCCCTTGTCTAGCCACAAAGAGTCCCCGTGTCCTCTGTGGGCCAGGCCCGGTCGCTGAGTCACTACACTTCAGCCTGGAGCCAGAGGAGGAAGCAGAGGGAGCCCCCCATTTCCCGGGGCATTCTGGACTCATGGGCGCAGAGAGAGAGGCAGAGGCCAGGGCCTCAGTGACCCAGCAAGCGACTAGAGACGGGGCGGGGTGTTCTGAGCGAGAGGCAGGCTCAGAACGGACGGACGGACGGACAGATGGGCTGTCTGGCTGTCCCCTGCAGTCCAATCACACACGGGGCTCCTTGAGCCTCTTATAGGACCCTGGAGAGCTGCAGAGGCCAGCACGGCAGCCGTGAGGAATGTGAGATCCCAGCGACTTCACAGCACTGTGCAACCACAGACAACCGCCTGCCTCTCTGGGCCTCGCCTGGCACCTGAACTTCCTGCCTCTGCTCGTGCTCTGGACTCTCTCGTGACTGGGATGGGACCGCAGCTGGGGACATCCTGTGTGACCCTGGGTGCTCTGCCTCAGGAGACCTCACACCCACAGGGTGGGCTCAAGGCCCGGGTCAGGAATGAGAGGCTGGCTTCAGCGAGTCCCTGCGGGCAGTGGCCAGCGGGGCCTGCTGTCCCTGACCCCTGGCCGGCCCCTCTGCCCCACCCCCCGCCCCCCAGCCGGCCTCTCGGGCCCCTACCTGTCCCGCAAGAGGATCCCTCCGTCCTAATCCCACAAAGGGACGGTTTGCAGGGGACGTGCCGGGCGGAGAGCAGGCTGTGGGGAGGAGAGAGACCAGAGCCCGTTAGCAGCACCAGGGCACGGGGGCCAGAGAGGGTCACACAGTCTTCCCTTCCCAGCTGCGGTCCTCACAGCTCTCCAGGGTGCACTCTGAGGGTCCTGGGGACCCGGGGGGTCCCGGCTGGGGTCCCTACGTGCTAGGTAGGTGGGGCATCAGCCTCGGGCTGAGGCAACGAGTGAAATATTAATAATCAAAGGCCAGCCGTGAATTACTCAGGGCCAGTTGTGGCCAGGCTGGCGGCGCCCATCAATTATTAAGGACGTTTTATTTATTGATTCCCTTTGTGGAGAGTGGGGTGGCAGGGTGTCTGCACAAATCTATTTATCATTTAGCTAGCTTGTGGTATCCATTTCTGAGGCAGAGTCTCTCTCTACAGACCAGGCTAGACTAGAACCTGCAATCATTCTGTCTCAGCACTCTGAATGCTGCGATGACAGTCCCGTGCCTCCATGCCCTGCTTCTAACATCTGTCTCGGTCACAAAAGAACAACATGGAGCTTTAACCCCAGCGCTCGGGAGGCAGAGGCAGGTGGATCTCTGTGAGTTTGAGGCCAGCCTGGTCTACAGAGCGAGTTCCAGGACAGGCTCCAAAACAATAGAGAGAAACCTTGTCTCTAAAAACCAACCTCCCACTAAAACAACTCAGAAGAAGAACACGGACCATTCACACCCCACCAGGAGCAGCAGAGGGAGGGACAGCTGCGGGCTGCAGGAAGGGAGAGGGGACAGCAATAAAGCCCTAAGGGAAAAGGAGACTTAAGTCCCACCCCTTGCCACGCCCCAGCCTCGCCCTGGTGGATTCTAGGTGGGGCTCCACCCTGATCATGCCCCCAGCCCTCAGTAGGGGAGTCTAGAGACTGACTTATGCTACAGGTGTGTAAACTGAGGCACAAAGAGGTGGCGCAGGCCATGAGCTGTGTGGAAGGGAAGGGTGCATCTACACCACAGCCAGTGTGGGGACCGATGACTGTGGAGGCTGCAGGTTCCAAGGGCAGCTGGTGGGGGGCAGTGGCTCTGGGCGGGGACCCACAGGACAGACGCCATCTCTTGGGTCCATCTGCTCAGATGCATCCCTGGGCTCTGCTGGAGTCTCGCCCTCGCCTAGAGTCCCTTCCAGGTGGCGACACCTCACACCAGTCCTTCACCCGGAGTCTCCCAAAGAGCCAAATCGGAGAGTCCCGAGTCTCACACGCTCTTTCTGTCACCGAGGCCCAGGGTGGCCTCAGACTTGTAGCAATCCTCCTGCCTCATCACCCAAATGCTCTGAATCTCAGACATGTTTTGTCCTTTGCACAAACCGTGCTAACGCCTTTTGGGCCTGGATTTTACTGGCCCTTGGGACTGGGGTTTGAAGACCCCCTGGAGCCACTGGACTGGCAGAGGGGACAGCAGCTGCCCCACCCTCCCCTGGGCTCCACCGCACCCTGACTGGGGCAGAGGAAGGACTGAGCCAGCCACTCACCGGTCCAGGCTGCTGGGTGGCCGGGTCGCAGGCCAGGGACACCAGATCCTTGAGTGGGTCCTGGGGGTTGAGGTGCGGCGGGTACCGGATGGCCGTGTGGGGAAAGTAGGTGGAGGCCGTCTGTGGCAGGATGGACGTCGCAGGGAAGTGTAGTGCCGAGGACGGGTGAGGGCTCCGCGCAATCCCTGTGGGCACAGTGCGGGTGGGCACGGGTCAACGGGACTGCCCCCAACCCCCACGATGCCCCGCCTGGGGCAGACTTCAGGGTCAACGGGACTGCCCCCAACCCCACGATGCCCCACGAGAGAGCAGCAGGGTGGCCACAGCCAGCTGACTCCGACGCAGCCAGGTCGCTCTACAGTTGGCAGTGGGGTTCCCTCTGGTTTGCCTTGCCCCAGGACAAGCCATCCCCTCCTCGCCACCTCCCTGCCTGGACACTCACCGCTGTGCACGGCAATGACCGGCCTGTGGTGCTGCGTGAAGCTGGAGAGCCGAGGGGAGTCCTGGGGGGATGGGCTGTTGAAGGGAGACTTGTCCATCTCTGTCTTCTTCACTGGGGAGGAGATGCCTGTGAGGAAGGGGGCCAGAGTCTCCATGTCTGAGGGGCAGCGAGTAACGTAGCCTGTCCCGAAGCCCAAGGCTCTCAGTGGGAGCGCGGAGGGGTCAGGAGCGGGGAGAGTGGACGAGTACGCAGCCAGGAACGGGCATCTGAGGGTCCCCTGTCCTCAGAGACTTCTGGTCCCGTGGGGATCCCGGGGTTGGTTCTGACCACAGGGCTCAGGAGCTCATACCCTGCCCCACTTGCTAAGACTAGTCTCCAACTCATGGCAATCCCCCTGCTTCAGCCGCCAAGTGCTGGGGGGTCGCGGGTACTGCCTGCGTCTGCTGTCACCACCCTGCGCTCGCCCCCCCCGCCCCCCCTGGACCGCCACGTCAGGCTGCTTACCAAGGTCCCGGGACTCGCCCTGCTTTTCTGTCTAGACTGCCCCCAACTCATTAAGGCCACTAAGCCGATTGGCGCGGCACGGCCGCCCTGGCCTCGGTTTCCCCAGCCACACCCTGGCCACTCGCTGAGGTCACGCCAGGGTCGTGCAATGGCAGAATCCACCCCTTTGCGCCGCGGTTCACAGAAGCGGCCAGTACACCGCTTCCAGAGCCCTCGAGGGGGAAGAAATGCGCAAGGCTCCGGGCACCCTAGAGCGGCACTAGCACGCTGTATCCGTATACAACTCCCAGGAGGCCCCGCGACTCGGGCTGGGTTATTACAGACTCAAGTTCCCGCTGGGATAGCCAGTCTAAGTGATGGGAGCACATGGCCGGACTACAACTCCCAGGAGGCCCCGCGACTCGAACCTGCGTCTTCCTTCTGGCCCCGCCCCCGCAGCTCCTGGTGGGAAACCTAGTCTAGTGGAAGGGAACACACAGCTGGACTCTAACTCCCACAAGGGCTTGCGACTTAAGCCCAGCTTCTTTCCCGGGCGAGCGCGCAAAGCCCGTCGGGACTTGTAGTCCCAACCGCCTCCGCTCCGTCACCGCGGGTCCCTACCTCCCTCCATGTCCTCCGTCCAGTTGCGGCTGCTGCTCGTGGGCGAGCTGGGCGAGGTGTAGTAGTCGCCGCCGGGGCTCGTGTCCACGTCCTCCTCCATGGAACCCGACTTGTGCCGCTTGCTCCTGAAGGCGTGCAGAGCGGTTACCACGCGGAGACGGGAACCTCGGGGCAGAGGCGAGGGGACACCAGGGCCAAGCTCATTTTACAGACGGGGAAACGGAGGCACAGCTTGTGAGCGGCCCACCGCCGCGGGAATGTCTGGAGGGATCTGCGGGACCCGAGGCTGGCCCAGCAGGGCCGGCACCTACCCGCTGGAGGAGGTGCTGGGCAGCGTCCTCCGCAGGCCGGCGCTGGCCGGGTTCAGGTCGTAGGCCAGGTGGCCCTGCAGCTCTCCCAGGGAGAAGTTGGGCCCGGCTCCGGTCACGACAGGCGCTGGGGAGGGCAGGCGTGGTCAGGTGGGCCCCGCCCCGCCTGCGGCCCCGCCCCGCCCCCGCCGTGCAGACACTTACTCCGGGACACTTGGATCAGCTCCGTGACGCTGAACACGCCCGACGTGACGAAGCTCTCCTGGAAGTCCGCGGTGTCTGCGGGGCAGGGAGGGCGGGGTCGGCGGGCGGCGTGGGGCGCGGAGTACTACGCAGCCCGGAACTAAGTGCGCAGCCCCGCCGGGCGAGGCGGGAGCAGCCCCAGGGGGCGGCACAGTGCACACGCGCGAGCGCGGCGGCTCGGGCTGGCCCTGAGCTCCCCGGGAACTGTTCCGCCCGCCCGCTTCCTGCGGACCCAGGTGGCGGTAGGGCCGCCCCCCGTTTCCTGTTTGTACAGCGGCCACCAGGGTCGTTTCCGGGGCTGGGGAGCCCCGAGAATGGGGTCCTCCCCCATGTGGCTGGAAGGGGTGGGAAGCGACTGGGCGACCTGGGGTCACGGACAGGGTCAGGAGCCCGCGGCACCACCCGGGCACGACCGGGAAGGGGGGAACAGCTGTGCGCCCGCCCCTGGAGGGCTCCGCCCCGCCCCTCCCTGGAGCCGTGGGCGCGGCTCCACCCTGACCACGCCCCCAAACATCCCTGGGGATTCTGGGCGGCGCTCCACCCGGCCCCGCCCCTCCCCGGGGCCCTGTGGCGGGCGGGCAGGCTCACCCAGCGTGATGGGCTTGCTGTCCTCCTGGTCGGCGCCCACGCCTGTCCGCGGGCTGCCGCTCTGCTCTGCGTCTGCGAAGGAGACAAAACGGTGACAGCCCGGCGGCGCCACGCCCCCAACCTGGGCCTCAGCTTCCCTGCTGGGCCGAGGCGTCGGGGGAGCCCAGCTCCGCCACGACCACGTCCCAGCCCGCACTGTGGGTGGTGGGTGGAGCTCCATACTGGCCACGCCGCAACCTCACTAGAGTAGGCGGAGCCACCACTCTGACCACGCCCTCAGCCATCACTGGGGATTCTAGGCGGAGCCACCATCCCGACCACGCCCCCACTCTCACTGGGGTTTCTATGCGGGGCTCCCTGACCACGCCCCCAGGGGCAGCCTGCCCGGCCCCGAGAGCAGGCGGTGGCAGTTAGTTGTGTTTTGTGTGTGCTGCCCCATCCCCCCGGACCGCCGTCCTCGCCTGCAGACGCAGCATGGCCGCCACGTCCTTCCCGGCATGCCTCGTGGGCAGGCTCGCCCGTCCTGGAAATCCCCTTTCTCAGCCCACACATCCGGTTCCGCTCCACGCTGCTCCGTCCTGCAGTCGCTGCCCACCCCTCGCTGGTTTCCCTGCACACGTGACGCCTGCTGCACACACACACGCGCGCGCGCGCGCACGGACACACGCACACGCAAACATGCATGCACACGCACTGCACACATGCATACACGCACTGCACACAGTGCACACACATGCACGAACACACTGCACACACGCGCATGCACTGCACAGTGCACTCACACACGCACTGCACATATGCACACGCGCACTGCACACATGCACACACGAACACACTGCACACGTGCTCGCACTGCACACGTGCACACGCGCGCGCGCACTGCACGCACACACCGCACACACGCACGGGGCGCAGGCCACCCTCGTCCCCACTGCGCAGCGCTGGCATCAGAAGAGCGCCCCACGCCGCCCTTGCTCTCCCGCCAGCCCCAGCCCGCTGGGCTGCAGCCAGACCGCGCTGCAGACGGGCCCGGGGACGCGGCTGGGCGGGGTGACCTCCCGGCTGCCCTGCGCCTGCCAGCTCCAGCCGGCCTGGGCCAGCGCCAAGGCCTCCTCCCGCCGAGTCCTCCCGGGATCCTCCCGACTCCGCGGGCCGCCCCAGGGCTGCTGTGGCCCTGCCCTGGCTGGCGGCGGAGCCCAGGCCCCCGGGGGACACCGGGACCTGGTCACCTGGTGTATGCGGCCTGGGAGGCACTGTCTGGTGACATCAGCAACTGGGCGGCCATTTCCTGGGGCTTCCAGATGCTTTTGTGGCCTGGGCGGCCATTTTGTGGCTGGGGAGGGCCATCTGGTTAGGGACACAGAGCCAAACCCTCCCCAAGTCGGGTGACTCCGACGGGGACCCCGGTGCAGGGTACAGTGGCCTCACATGCCTGAGGTTAAACTGCAGGCGCCAAACTGGGGTACGGGGGGCCAGGTGGTCACGGTGGGGACCCCAGGTGGTCACAGTGGGGTGGGACCAGGTGGTCACGGTGGGGACCCCAGGTGGTCACGGTGGGGACCCCAGGTGGTCACGGTGGGAACCCCACGTGGTCACGGTGGGGTCGGGACCCCAGGTGGCCACGGTGGGGTGGGGACCAGGTGGTCACGGTGGGGACCAGGTGGTCACGGTGGGGTGGGGACCAGGTGGTCACGGTGGGGACACCAGGTGGTCACGGTGGGGACCCCAGGTGGTCACAGTGGGGACCAGGTGGTCACGGTGGGGACACCAGGTGGTCACGGTGGGGACCAGGAGGTCATGGCCTGGGCCTCACCCAGCCTGGCAGTGCCGCCGTGGTCCTGTCACCCGTGGCCCTGGGCTGCGCGATGTTAGTTAAAAATACCAGACAGAACCTTAGTCCTCTCCAAAGTCAAATGTGTCACCCGCAGCGGGAGGCGCTGAAAATAACCCGTGTTTACACTCCCGGGTTCCTGGCTTCCCCGTCGTCCCCCCCCCCGCCCCCGGATTCCGTCTGCGGCCCCAGAGGGCCAGAGCCAGACCTCGGCCCGGGGGCTCCCAAAGCCGACTGAGGGGGCTCCGGGGTCGCGGGTCAGAAGCCCGCGCCGGGGCTGCAGGCCCAGCGCCTCTACCTAGGAAGAGGCTCCGTGCTGAGGAGGCACACGCGCCCCGTGCAGGCTCCCCCTCCCTCCCCGAGCACACAGTGGGTGCACAGGCGTGAGAGCCACGGCATGGACACGGAACAGGCGCAGAACAAACGCCCCCAGGCCGAGGGAGAAGGGGTGGGGCCGGCTCGTCCCCGCCACGGGGTCTCCAGTGGCAGTTGCCAAGAGCTGGACGTCTGTAGCCCACGCCACAGCCCCTCCCTGGGGATCTCTGGCCACACCCCGTCCCCGTGGGTGGCGATGGGGGAGAGGGGGGCGCACTCGGCCTGGGCTCGCACAACTCAGCCAAGGGTCCACACCCACGCTGTGAGTGAGTTCTTCGCTGAGGCGCTCTCCGGGTTTCCCGGGCCTCAGTTTCCCCCGCTGTCAGCCGATGACCCCACTCTCCGCAGCCCTCCCCGCGACCCGGCCTGGAGCATCCTGGGTTCGAGTTTCAACCCTTTCCCTCTGGTTTCCTGTCTCGTGAAGCACCAAGTTGGCACCGACTGTTTGCAGTCTGGGTCCTGCGAGGCTCACATGCGCGCGCCTACGAGGGGCGCTGGAGAGCACCGGGTGGGCCCTGCCCCGCCCCCTGCCCCTGCCCCCGCCCCCAGCAGGCCCCCAGTGCCTGCCCCTCCTGCTCTACCCTGCGTCCCTCCCGCTGCTCCACCCACGGGGTCTCCTCCGCGCTGGGTATACAGAAGGCGCATGGTAAATGCGGGGCCCGTCACCCCATCGCTCGCGTGGGCCAGACCTGAGGCTGGTGAGGGGTCAGAGGGCACCGCAGCTGGGGCCTCTCGTCCTGCGCCCCCAGACCGCAGCCCCAGGCCCCGCCGGGCCTCGGATTTGAACTCGGGTCCTGGTGCTTGCGGGCAGTCGCGCCCCGCCCACGCCCGGCTCTCCGTCGCGGACTGCCCGCCCGGCACACAGTAGGGCAGACTCTCCGCAGGCGGCCCGGGGAGGCCGAGGCGGGGGCGCCGGGACGCGGCCCCTTTAAGCCCCTCCCCCCCGCCGCCTTATGTAATTGGGCCTTGTCCTTGCGTAACCCGGTTACATAAGGGACCGGGGACGGGCGGCTGCATCCGGCGGGGACCGGCCCGGGGAGTCTGCGCTGCGGGCGGGGGGGGGGGTGGGCAGCAGGGGCGCGGCCCCTCCCGTCCACAGAGCCGGCCCATTGCTCAGAGCGGAGGACTGAGCCCAGACGGCGAGAGCGCGCAGCTACGCGCTGACCTCCCGGCCCCCGCGCCCTCCCCCCTCCGCCTCCACCGGGAAACTGAGGCTCGGGCCGTGCGAAGCCCAGGCCCGGCCCACACTGGCGACGCTGGCCCTTTAAGCGGTCTGCGGCTGGGGTCTGTCCCAGAGTGACCCCGGGGGAGGGTGTGGCCAGGAACAAGGGGCCCATTCAGCTCGGGAGCGGGGGCGGGGCGGGCCCGGGCGCGGACGGACGGACACCTGGAGCGGACCCGTGGCCACGTCCCCCGCCCCGGCAGCTGCGTCGTGGGTTCGAGTCCCCAGCCCCGGCACCTGCGGCGTGGGTTTGAGTCCCCCGCCCCGGCAGCCGCGGCGTGGGTTCGAGTCCCCCAGCCCTGGCAGCGGCACGCGGACGGGGCTGGGGCCGGGCGAGCCCGCACGGGGCGGGCACGGGTGGCCCGGGGGTCCTCAGCAAGCCCGGGCCACTCCACGGAGAGTCCTAGAACCCAGGGCCTGGCGCTCCGGAAATGGGGCGGACTGCCCCGAATGCGCATGCTCACCCCGGAATGGGTTCCCCCTGTGTGGGAAGCTGAGGCTGGGGGCTGTGGGGATCCCGAATCTGAGGCCAGCCTGGGCTACCTGAGACAGGACCTGAAACCCCAAACGAGGTCAGCTGCGAGGGCGTGGCCTCGTTCTGGGGGCGGGGCGGGGCTCAGTTTCTCCATCTGGTCTTGACTTCCTACGTCCATCATTGCGGGGGAAAATCCCACCACGGTGACTTCCGGCCCGCGCAGGGTGGGGCCGGGACGAGGAGTCACAGCAGGGGCGGCGTTTGGCACCTCTGCGGGTTAGCGAGGCGATGGATGGCGGGGACAGACGTTCAAGCCCGGGGCTGCACAGCACGCCCCGGGGGGGGGGGGGGGGGCCTGCCCTGTCTCTGCGGGCCACCGGGGTCGGCTGCGTCACCGCGGCCCAGCTCGGCTACATGGCAAGTCTGGCAGTTTCTACACGTACACCTTTTATCCTGCGCACACCTGTGCTGCCTGCACGCGCGTCTGCGCGACAGTGCCGGGTTCCCTGGAGCCACCGCCGGGCGGGTGCTGGGATTGAACCCGGGTCCTCTGGAAGAGCAGCCCCCCCCCCCCCAGCCGTCTCTCCAGCCCCAAGTTTGCGGCTCCGGCCGCAGCTCTGGCTCTTTGGAGCCCAATGACACGAGTGACACCATCTGTGCTTCGGCGACCCCTCCCCGGAGATGGGGAGACGGGGCGGGGCCGGGGCGGGGCCAGCCCGCAGTCCCGCCCAGAGTGCCCCGCCGACACCCGCCGCGCCCACCCGTGGCTGTGGCTGCGGGCGGGAAGCGAGTCTGGCCCTGGCGAGCACGTGGGCACCATCTGGGCTGGCAGCTGCCGGCCCGGGCGGGCCTGGCACCCCTCCCCCCCTGGCACCGTGCCCGCCCGCGCTTCGGGTTTCGCGGGCTGCCAGGGGGGGCAGGGCGCGGGCTGGCAGCCGCCGCTCCCTTGGCCCAGCTTTCCCAGACTCCTTCCCGCGAAGCAGGCCAGGCCCGGGAGCCTGGGCGACTCTGCCCGCCCCGCCCCGCTATCTCCTGGCTTTGCACCCCTGACCACCCAACTCCCCCAGCCTGGCAGGCTCTCCTCAGACTTTCTCGGGGTCCCCACTTCCTCCTTGGAGACAAGGTCAGCCTTGAGCTTAGTATGTAGCAGAGGCTAGCCCTGAACTCAGGGGTCTAGGGACAGAACCCTGGGCCAGCCCGGGCGCTACCCTAAACCATGGCACTCTTCCGTTCCTTGGTGACTGTCAGACCCAACATTGACCCTGTGCCCCCCAAGAGGTCGGCTCAAGCTCTGCCACCCCGGTGTTTAGCATAACGGGGCGAGCAGGGTCGTCCCCGCCGCGCTGGGGACACTTGGGGCAGGGCGGGACCCCTACCTGCTGGCTCAGGAGCCAGATGAGCCAGGCCCGGCCTGAGGAACTGGGGACGGGGCTCAGGCAGGGGCGAGCACAGGGATGGTCTGGCGACCTCTCCAGTTCCAGGGCCCGCGATGCTGGCGGCCAGGCAGGGCTGTCGGGGACAGTTGTTTTCTTTTACGAGACAGGGCTTCTCTGTATTGTTTGGAGGCTGTTATTGTTGGGAGGTCCAGCCCAGCCTCGAACTCAGAGACCCGCCTGCCTCTGCCTCCCGAGTGCTGGGATTAAAGGCTGCGCCACCACCGCCCGGCCTGGGACAATTTTGACTCTGTCTTTTCCTGTCTCGTTGGCTTCTGCCTCGCTGACTGGGTATGGTGGCCCAGGTGGGGGCGGAGGCCTGAGCTGTGCTGCCGGCAACCGGAGGCCTCCCAAGACTGACGGAGACAGGAGCTGGGAATTTTGTTGGTTTTTCAACACAGGGTTTCTCTGTGTAGCTCTGTAGCCCAGGCTGGCCTCGAACTCACAGAGATGCTCCCGCCTCTGCCTCCCGAGTGCTGGGATCAAAGGCTGCGGCCACCCCCGCAGGCTGGGAGTGAGTTAGGGTTTTGAAATATGCTCGGGGGTTTCCGCTAGGGAAAAGCATTCTGGGAAATGGCGCCCTGGAAAGGCAGAGGGCTGGACAGGAATGGCCCGGGCTGGCTGCACCTTGGTCTCAGTAGGTTCTGTTCTGGTTTTTGTTTTGAGGGATTCCTGGCGACTCCCTTGGTGCCCGGTGGTGAGATAAAGAAATTAAGCACAAAGGGGATGACGGACGGACGCGCCTGGGTCACACGGCCAACTGGCAGCCTCTGCTCGCCCCAGCTTCTAGGGATGCAGGTGGCTGGCCAGGGTGACCGCGGGAACTCGGGCGGCCCGGAGGCCCCGCCCTCACTGGGCAGAGGACCCGGAGGCCCCGCCCTCACTGGGCAGAGGAGGAGGCTGCGGATCGTGCTGACACAGCAGACAGCAGCTCCAAGGAGGCAGGGAGAGACTGGGACCCCCGGGCCGCACCCTGGCCATGGCCACCCCAACACAGCCTGTGAGCGCCCTCGCTGCTGGGGGCTGACAGGAGGCGGGGCGGGGCTGGGGCCTCTGCGGCCGGCTCAAGGTCAGGGCTCCCCCAACGCTGTGACACGGCTGAGGGGAAACCGAGGCACAGTGTTCCGGGGGGAGTTCCGCCCCAGCCCCTCCCCATCTCTCTCCAAACCCTGCAGCATCTCAGGAAGCCCCCCATGATGTCCCCTCCCCCAGGACGGCCCCCCCCAGGGAGTGTAAGCTGCCCCCAGAGAACAGACCCGTGGTTTTGCTCTATCGGGCTGCAGGGTCACCCGGGCACCGCGCCCGTTAACTGGGCCTTTTCTGATTCGGTTGGCCTTGGATTGCTGCATCGGCGGAGACGGAGGCTTTCGGGGTGCAGAGACTTTCACGAGGAGCGGTGGATGGCAGCCGGGAGCGACCCCGGGCCCAGGGCTGTCCTCTGAGCCACGCACGTGGGTTATCAGGGGCGACCCATGCGGGCGCCCGGGACAACCCCTGCCCGGAGAGTTCTAAGGCCCTGGTGGGCAGGGCGGCTGCCACAGCTGACTCGCACGCGGAACATGGGCCTCTGTCAGCTCACAGCCATCCCCCTGCCTCGGTCTCCTGCATCCCACAGGACCACGCGGAGTCTTGCCTCCCTGAACAGCTCAAACTCAGCCACGATCGTCCCCACCCATGTGGAAGGGCTTCGCATTCAGCATCAGCTGGCAGTAGGCAGGGACAGGTCCGGGTCCTTCCAACTCCGGTTCAAAGTAGACCTGAGTGAGCAGTGGCCCTGCCCACAGCCCCGCCCACTCCCCCCTCGGGGTCGGAGCTGTCCGGGTCACACCACTGTCCCAGGTCTGTGGACAGACACCAGGCTCACATCCCCGCTCCCCCTGGCGCCAGGCCGGGTCAGGTGGCAGCCAGCCCCCGGGTCTGCTCACGGCTCCGCATGAAGCAGGACAGGCACACACGGAGGCTCAGCCCTGATGGCCTGACTGTGGCTCCCACGGCCCCGCCCCTTGGCCGTGACCACGTGCCAGCCCCGGACCTCGTCCCTAAACACGACCTTGCCTGGGACAATGGTCGTGAACCTGACCGCGACCCTGGCCACACCGCGGCCCAGCTCCATGACCCTCGCCCCTGACAACGCAGGACTCTGTTCCGACCATGACCCTGACCACGGCCAAGGTGCACCCCTGACCACGGCCCCACTCGTGACCACGGCCCGACCCGTGACCACAGCCCAGCACCAGCGCCTTTCAGGCGGACACCCCAACGATGGCTCCACCCTGCCCACGGCCCCACCCCCATCAGGACCAGCCCCCTACCAGGCCATCCTCCTTTGGCCACACCCCATCACAGCCGCGCCCCTGCCCACGCCCCGCCCCTGCCCACGCACGCGCCCTCACTTACCACGCTCACGCACGAAGTACGCCAGGTACAGGTCCAGCTCCTTGACAGCCACGCCGATGTGGTGCGGCTGCACGCACAGAACAGGGTGGGCGCAGGCGGCCGCCTTCACCAGCCGCTCGCCGTCCGTGCTCTCGAGCGGGATGCCCTTGAACAGGATGACCATGACCAGGTCCAGGCGCCACACCTTGTCGGCCTGGCGCAGGCAGTCGATGCGCCGCATCTTGCCCTTCTGGTCCGGGTTGGAGAGCACGCAGCCAGGGGCCTTTTTGCCGGTCACGGCCAACACGAAGTCTTCGCGGCACTCGGGCCGGATGTCCTTGCGCAGCTTGGCCAGCAGCCGCGACGCCCACTTCTGCTTCACCTCGGCCTTCTCGCCCAGCAGCTCGTCCTTCACCGCGCGCTCCTCGTCCTTGGACATGCGCTTCTCGTGCTTCTTGAAGTACTTGCGCTTCCGCGCCTGCAGGTTGAACCACGTGTAGGCGAAGGCGCGCACGTGTGGCAGCAGCGCCTCGATGAACGGGTGGAACTCATCCTGCGAAGAGGCGGGGACACTGAGGCTCGGTGAAAACAGACCTGCTACCCAGACAGGGATCCCGGGAACGTCAGGGCTGGATCCTCAGACTCCGAGAGCAAGGGTTTTGAGGGTAAATGAAACCCTGTAAATGTCTCCCTGCGGGGGACAGCACCTTCAGGGGCGGGGCCTCGCATCGCTCACACGGTGGGCGTGGGTGACTGCTGGGGACTAAGGAAGCACCCCCAGAGCCCCACAACCTGTGTCATGATAGGGAAACTGAGGCCCAAGTCTTGCCAAGATCTGCCCAAGGTCCCCACAGGGCCTCAAGGAGACAGGCGACAGGCTGCTGGCTTGTTTGTTGTCATGGTTCTGAGTCAGGGGTCTCCTCCGGACCCCCCAGCTCACTGAGCAGGCCCCACCCCCCGGACTGCACCTGCCCCGCACCCCAGAGCCAGGATGCCAAGTGGCACCTATTACCAAACCTCTGAAAATAGCTGGTGAGCTGGAGAAGGCCAGGCCGGGCCACCCGGTCCCCCAGGCCAATGTCCTCTGAGGTGTGAGTCACTGGAACAGCTGTGGCCTGGACCTGGGGGGGGTGCGTCTGCCCTTCCCCCATGCTGGCTGCTGAGGCTGGGGAGGAGACGGGGGACTGGGCTAGCCTTGGGAAACGGGGTTCTTCCTGAGTCAGGATTCTAACTGACATGTGAGAGCAGACACAGACAGGAACTAGGCCACAGGCCTTCAGTGGGGCTGGGGCGGCACAGTGGATGGAGGGTGACTCTCGGGTGGTGGTGGCCAGGGAGGGACAGTGGTTGCAACCCCGAGTTCTGTCTCTGAATCTACCCTAAGAACCTCTGCCCGCTGAGCCCCATCTGTGACTGTTCCCTGGGTCCCACCCCCGGGGTAGACCATGGTGGGTGCCCACATCAGTCACCGGTGGCCCCAGCTGGCCAGCAAGGTCAGAAGGTAAACAGCAAGTGACCGGGTCATAGACCTGCTGGCCATGCTCCCTGTCCTCCGTGCCCCTCTGTCACACAGGACTAGGCAGAGAATCCTCCTGACCACGACACACCCCAGACGCCCCGTCCCCAGCGCCCCAGACGCCCCATCCCCAGCGCCCCAGACACCCCATCCCCAGCGCCCCAGACGCCCCATCCCCAGCGCCCCATCCCCAGCGCCCCCCATCTCCAGCGCCCCAGACGCCCTGTCCCCAGCGCCCCCCCATCTCCAGCGCCCCAGACGCCCCGTCCCCAGCGCCCCAGATGCCCTGTCCTCAGCACCCCAGACGCCCCATCCCCAGTGCCCCAGACGCCCCATCCCCAGCGCCCCAGACGCCCCATCCCCAGCGCCCCCCTATCCCCAGCGCCCCCCATCCCCAGCGCCCCAGACGCCCCATCCCCAGCGCCCCCCATCCCCAGCGCCCCAGACGCCCCATCCCCAGCGCCCCCCATCTCCAGCGCCCCAGACGCCCTGTCCCCAGCGCCCCCCCATCTCCAGCGCCCCAGACGCCCTGTCCCCAGCGCCCCGTCCCCAGCTCCCCCCCCTCCCCAGTGCCCCAGACGCCCAGTGCCCCAGACGCCCAGTGCCCCAGACGCCCCGTCCCCAGTGCCCCATCCCCAGCGCCCTCCCATCTCCAGCGCCCCAGACGCCCTGTCCCCAGCACCCCAGACGCCCTGTCCCCAGCACCCCAGACGCCCCGTCCCCAGCGCCCCAGATGCCCCGTCCCCAGTGCCCCATCTCCAGCGCCCCAGATGCCCCCCTGTCCCCAGGGCCCCTAGCTGTCAGGCCTGGTTCAATGTGGCCACGCTCTTCCCCCGCCAGGGGAGACAAGACCTCACAGATGCAGGGGGATGGTAACCAGGCCTGTCCCATGAAGGGGGCAGCCCTCTGAGTCTGGGGCCATCAACTGTACCCCCAAACGCACAGCCCTCATCACAGGTGATGGCCATGTCTCCCTCCAAACTCCTAGGCATTCTTTAAAGGTCCAATCCCAATCCCCTTCCCACGTGGCTGGTGAGGGGTAGAACACCCAGGAACTGTCTAGAATCCTGATCACCTGCCTAGGATAGTGATCATGTCCCCTCCCTAGCTTGGCCGCTGTCTGGTCAGGGAGGGAGCTGCATTTGCTGAGCGCTTAGTTTCCTGGTACAGGGACGGCTTGGCCAGTGCAAAGGTCCTGGGGCAGGAGCGGGGGACAGAGGAGGGGCTTACCCCCCACTCCCACACTCATCCAGCTCCCTGTGGACCCTCCTCTCCATTCAATCTTATGTCACAAATATGATTTTTTTTGAGACAGGGTCACATATTCATGATAACCCCCCTGCCTCAGACTTCTGAGTACCAATATCACAGGTGTGTGGCACCTGGTAGATCTTATTTATTTTTTCTGAGACAGGGCTTTTCTGTGTAGCATTGTAGACCAGGCTGGCCTCGAACTCACAGAGATCCGCCTGCCTCTGCCTCCCGAGTGCTGGGATTAAAGGCGTGCGCCACCACTGCCCAGCAACCTGGAGGATCTTATATTATCTGCTTCTTTCCAAGTAGCCCTATGCATGTACCCTAAGTTATCACACACCCCAGCAGCCACCAGCGTCTGGTCAGACTTAAGACTGGACTGGGGGGGGCACTGTGAAACCCCAGTTTGAATCCCAGCATCCCATCAAGGGCTAGATACGGGTCCAGGCAGTCCATGGGGCCACAGCCTTGACCCCACTGATGAGACACCTATGGGTGGCCTCTGATACCCATTTGTGCCCTTATGTTTGGGGGTCGCCACTGTCCCCATCGCCCACCTCCAGTCTGCTTCACTTAGGCAACAGAAGGAAGGAAGCTGTGAGAAGCCTCCTGGCTAAGCCGTGGGCCAGGGCCGCAGCATTCACCAGGTCTGGACCACGCGTGTGGCAGCCTACGGGGCGCAGGACCCTGTCTCCCCTATTCTGTGTAAGATGACACACCAACAGCCACTTACCAAGCAATGGATGTCTATAGAGTACCTACTGTGTGCCACCCCATGTCTGATAGCATTTATCAAGCTCCTACTGTGTACCATACCCTATATCCAGCACATAAGAAATATCCGCACCATGTCCCCAAGCTGACTGGCCACTGGGGCTCTGGGCTGATGTGAGGGTTCCCCTATCCAGGGATGGAGGGCAGTGAGCCAGCTGTGGTTGGTGGATCCCTGCGCCCGCACCGCACCGGGGAGGGGGCTGCGCAGAGCTGGGGGGGGGGCAGGAGAGAGCAGGAGGCTCCAGTCTGTGCAGGGCTGCGGGAAGATCTGGGGAGGGAGCGGCGGTGGCCGCCGCGGGAGAGGCTAGAACGCTGACTCGCCAGAATCCAGCTCCCTGATTTACAGGCCTCGGCCCAGGCACAGACACCTTCTCTGCAGCGAGGAGGGGGCGGAGGGGACGGGCGTGAGGACAGGGACGAGGACACATCAGGGACCCAGCCCACAGTGTGCCGCTTGGGGACACTTCTCACCCTCTCTGATCCACCCAGCCCCCCCTGGAATGAAACCCTAAGTGTCAGGTGCCTTGGGCTGCCTCAGTTTCCCCACTGCCAGGATGGCAGCAGAGAGAAGCCAAGCCATGTGGAGGAATGAATGGAGGAGGGAAGTGGCCTCAGCCCAGGCCCAGGGAATCCTTAACCTCAGCCAACAGGGATTTGGCCCCAAACCCGGAATAACTAACATGGGGCGGGAGGGCGGGAAGGAGGGAAGGAGGGGGAGGCTGCCTCGGCTAACGGCTGCTTCTCTGCAAGAGTAAAGGGGCCTGAGTCACCAGACAGGACAGGGGACCCACGGGGCTCCCAGAATCCTCCCGGGCACCTGGTGGCCCTGGCATCAGCGCTGACATCAGGGCCAGCCAACCCCGCCCCGGGCCAGGATCCCGGTAGGATCCGGTCGGATCAGCAAAGGAGTTATTTCAGGCTGAACCCTGGCTGTAAAATTAGCCAATTCGGGAGGGCTGGGTGAGGGGAGCCACAGAGACAGAGAGACAGAGGAGAGACAGGAGAAAGACAGAGGGACAAGTCAAGGCAGACACTCTGAGTGCCGTGTGGGGGCAGGGCCAGAAGATGGGGAGGCTGGGGGGCTGCAGCATTGTTCCTGGGGTCCCGCCGAGCCCCTACAGCTGAGACCCCTGCCCAGCCTGGGCTTGGGTGGAGCAGAGAGCCCACACTTGGGACTCAGGGGCTCTGGGGTGCCAGGTGCCATCTGGGCAGGAAAGCGGTGAATGGGACATCATAGGGGCGGGGGTCCCCTCCATCTTGCTCAGCTTCTGCCCCCTCCTCTCTGGCCCGCTGCACTGGGCTCCCCACAACAGGACCCACACCCTCCTATGGGGAAACTGAGGCCAAGGCCACACACAGTAAGCTCCCTGGGCCCGAGCCAGCCCTGGGGTTGTACCCACCCCCAGCTCCCGGCAGCAACCTGGATGCAGGCCGGTCTCCAGAAGGCCAGGCCGGGGAATTCCACGTGCCCAGGCTGCCTTCCAGCCGGCCACGTCTGCCTCAGACCTCGCGGTCACCAAGCCTAGCAGTCAACACAGAGACTTAAGAGTCTGCCTGCGGCCACACAGCAATCCCATCCCAACTGGCGGTCTGGCGGGTAACCAAGTGATGCCTGCCCTGAGTTGTGGGGTGCCCCCTCCCCAAATCTTGCTTGAAACAGAGACTGAGGCCTGTGGAGGGGCAGGCCTTTATCCAAGGTCACCAGGGAACTCTGGGTAGAGAAGGCTGGGGTTCCCTCCGTACACAGGTCTCCCCGGGGTAACAGAGAACTCTTCTAGCCAAGCTGGAGGGGGCTGGCAGGAACAGGGGACCCCCGGGGCCGCGTCCGAGACCTGGGCCTTCCCTGGTGAAAGCAACTGAGCCCCTGGAAAGCTTCTCAGGACGCGGGACAATCACGGTCCCCCAGCCTCGCACGGAACAGTTTGGAGACTACTGTGTTTCTCTTGGGGCAAACTGAGGCCAGGGTCACACAGCAAAAACTCAGGAGAGGGTTGTGGAGCTGGAAGAGAAAGGCCTGGGATCCTAGAGGGGGCAGCGACAGTTGGGGTTCTTTAGAGGGAGTCCCCAGCAGGATGGCTGTGACCCTCCCTAAGTCATCTCAGATGCTGGAACCAGGTCAGAGGGGAGGAGCAGGGCAGGTGCTGGCCTGGCTACCTCGTAAGCAGCCCGCAGTGTGGGTCAGTCCCCTGCCTCCGCGCCACCGCCTCCTCCTCTTTCTCCTCCTCCTCCAGCCCGGCCTCTGCTCCTCCCGCTAGCTGCCTGGCAGCGCCTGCTCCGCTCAATAATTCAAGAATCAATGCGGAGCTGGGGGGGAGCTGAACCAAGGAAGGGGGGACCCGCGACGGACACCGGCAAGGCCGCTCCTTCCCCCCACCCCCGCGCGCCAACTTCGTGCGCCCCTCCCCCCCGCGCGCACACGTGGGCCTGAAATGGAGGGGGCACTGCCAGTTGGGGGGCCACCCGGGAAACTGGGGACCCGCGAACAACAGCTCGCACGGAGGGGGTGTCTCGTTCCCGCACAGCCGGGGAGACCTAAGGTGCAGCAGGGAACCCCGAGATCTGTCCCATGGGTGGGTGGGGGGCTTCCTGCGGACACTCAGTTTTTCCATCTGGAGAGAACCCCAGGCTTCCTGGGGGGCAAAGGGTGAGGGCTTGGGGAGGGCGCCAGCTCCCCCTCCCACATCCAGCCAGGAGGAGACAGTCCCAAGAACAGTTAACCAATTCAAATCAAAGTGGGGGCTCAGAACACAGGGCTCCAAGCACGCAGCCAAGCTTATCGGGGAGGGGATCCCTATCTCAAAAGCTGCCCGCACCCCAGGTCCATGCCAGGAACACCCTGGCCTGGAAGGGGGTGGGTAAGCCGGACGCGCGCCTTTTTTTTTCCCACCCCCGCTGCGGAGGGGAGGTTCCAGTCTGCAAAATTGTGGTTCCAGGTGGAGCCGGGGTGCGGGCTGGGGCCGGGCGAGCGCGGGGTCCGTACCTGGGTCAGGCAGAGCGGGGAGGAATACATCCCGGGGCGCTGGCACCGGAGGCGCAGAGGCCGAGCGGCCGCCGAACTTACTGAGTCATTTTTGCAGCCGCTCCTCCCTCCGCCGTCCTCCCCGCCCCGCGCCGCCTCCCGCCCGCCCCCGCTCCCTCCCCGCCGCCCGCATCCAACTTTCAAAGAAATCGCCGACAGCAAACAAACAAACAAACTGTGGCCCTCGGACCCCCGAGTGCCCCTCCCCCCAAACTTGCCCATCTGCGCTCAGGCTGCAAGGACGCAGCAAACGGGTCCAGGAAGAGATGGGGCTGAAACCCGGCTGCCCCCCACATCCCATCTGCCCCCCACACCCACCTGTGCCCCAGGAGGCCCCCCACACCATCTGCCCCTCACCCCACCTGTGCCCCAGGATGCCCCCACACCATCTGCCCCTCACCCCACCTGTGCCCCAGGATGCCCCCACACCATCTGCCCCTCACCCCACCTGTGCCCCAGGATGCCCCCACACCATCTGCCCCTCACCCCACCTGTGCCCCAGGATGCCCCCACACCATCTGCCCCTCACCCCACCTGTGCCCCAGGATGCCCCCACACCATCTGCCCCTCACCCCACCTGTGCCCCAGGATGCCCCCACACCCCATCTGTGCCCCTCGGCTGTCCCTACGCCTCACTTGTTACCCCAAGCCACCTAGTGCCAGCTAGGAGGAGGAGAGCAGTACGGGGCTTCCCTTACACTGCCAGAAGGAGCCCGAGAAGCAGGTGGTCCTCCCCGAGGAGGGTGCCCTGCAGGACCCCAGGCTGGACTCCCACACTACTGCTCACTGAAGGCGAGAGGGATGACCCAGGCCACCTGGGTTCCGGCTCAACATGTGTAGTGTGTATGGAGGTGTGGCTCTGCCCCGGCCAACAGCTTAGTCACTCTGCACCTCAGTTTCCCTGCTGTGTTGCAGAGACACAGACACCTGCAATGACAGAACGGGGTGCGGCGGGCGACTCAGATGGACACTAGACTTGCATCTCGGCAGCATATGACCCACTGGTTAAACATAAAAACTGCCCGGTGCACACCTTTAACCCCAGCACTCGGGAGGCAGAGGCAGGTGGATCTCTGTGAGTTCCAGGCCAGCCTGGTCTACAGAGCGACATCCGGGACAGCCTCCAAAACAACACAGAGAAACCCAGTCTGGGGGAGACACGCATAGAAAGCGAGGATTCTGGCGAGATTCTCAGTGGTTAGCGCACAGGCTGCCCACGCAGAGGACCAGGTTTGGTTCCCAGCAGCCACATGGTAGCTGACAACCGTCTGTGACTCCATTCCTGGGACGCGACGGTCCCTTCTGGCCTCTGCTGCACACATGGTTCACAAAGACACATACATAGATATAAAAACTAAGTATAAATGTTAAGCTAGGGCTGGAGAGACGGCTCAGAGGTTAAGAGCACTGGCTGCTCTTCCACAGGTCCTGAGTTCAATTCCCAGCAGCCACATGGCGGCTCACAACCACCTCTAATGGGATCTGGTGCCCTCTTCTGACCTGCAGGCACAACACTATATACATAATAAATCTTTTTTTTAAAAAAGTTAAGCTAGGTAGCTGGCTTTAATCCCAGCACTCAGGAGGCAGAGACAGGCGGATCTCTGTGAGTTCGAGGCCAGCCTGGTCTACAGAGCGAGAGTGAGTTCCAGGATAGGTTCCAAAGCTACACAAAAATCTGTCTTGAAAAACAAAAACAAACAAAAAAAATTAAGCTAGGCGGTGGTGGCACACACCTTTCACACCAGCACTCGGGTGGCAGAGGCAGGCGGATCTCTGTAGGCCAGCCTGGTCTACAGAGCTACATGCTGTCTCAGAAAAAATACATTGTTTTTGTTTGTTTTGTTGCCCCTAACACAGCAGCGCTGAGGTAGGGGAGGTGGCCACCAAAATGAGCCTTAACATCAACAGCGTGAGACAGCGCCAAGTCCAACAGGGACAGCCGAGCCATGACCTCGGCGGGGACAACCTGCGGTAGCTGGGGGCCGGGATCTCTGGAGCTATCTCCAAGGGCCACCCAGGTAGGGTCCCCCCACTGGGGGATTGCTGTCACTAACCCAGCACGGTGGGAGTTGGGGACAGGGTGTCTCAGACTCCCTGTTTTCCAACAACTGCAGCTGGCCGAAACAAGTCACAGTGACCCAGGGAACAGGCAGCCCTGCTTGAGGCCACAACCACAGACCCCGCTGGAGAACTCAGCCCGAGCTCAGAGTTTCGCTTTCTTTTTGTGTGGGTTTTCTCAGCCAGGGTCCCGTGGAACCCAGGACGGCCTTGAACTCAGGATCTGCTGTCTGCACCTGGAGAATGCCGGGCAGACGGGCAGCTTTAAAGGAAGACACTGGTACGCCAGTGCGAACCCTCTGACTGCACAGCGGCTACAACCGGGCTGCGGGGCGACGGCGGCAGGCCGGGGTGGGACCCTTCAAGGACAGCAAGGAGGGACTCTGCCTGTGGACAGGGCAGGCCACGCCCCCAGCCCCTCGCTGGGGATCCTGGGCGGGGCTCCACGCCCCCAGCCCCTCGCTGGGGATCCTGGGCGGGGCTCCACGCCCCCAGCCCCTCGCTGGGGCTCCTAGGCGGGACTCCACGCGGCCACGCCCTCAGCCCCTCACTGGGGATTCTGGGCGGGGCTCCACCCTGGCCACGCCCCCGACTCCCCCAAAACAAACTTGTGAGAAGGGACTACAGCTCCCAGCGTGCTTCACTCTGGGACCCCGGACGCCCTCAGGGCCCGCTGCAGTGCGACACGGGGCTGGCGGGTCCCCGGAGCTCCGCGGCCTCGTGTGGGCCCAAGGGCGAGGTCGGGCCGGGCAGGCGGGGCCGCCGCGAGCCCTGTGGTCGGCAGCCCCGGGCTCCCCTCCCCGAGCGGCCACGGCGGCGTGAGGGGCGGAGGCCGTGCGGACCTATTTTTGGAAACCGGCAGGGAGCGCTGACACCGAGCGGGGATCCCCGCCGGGCAGCCGAGGAGGCGGCTTCGGCGGCCCCGGGGCGCGGCGCCTCCTCCCGCGCACGCGCAGCGCGGCCTGCGGCGCAGCCCCCCCCCCCGTGCGGTGCCGGGGGCTGCGGACAGCGGCGGTGGGCGGGGCGCCCGCAGAGCGGCCATTTTCCGCTAAGCTGCGCGCGCCGCCGAGAGCCCCGGGCGCGGGGGGCGGGGGCGCACGGGAGCGCCGCTCGCTCGCCCCCCGCCCGCCCCGTCCCCGCCGCGCGCTCGGGGTTCCCCGCGGGCCCGGCCCCGCCCCGAGGGCGGACGGGCGGGCGGGCGGAGCAGGACGCGGCCGCCCCCCCCCCCAAACCGCAGCCCCGCGCCCCGGCCCCGCGCGGCGCCCCGGGAGCCCCCGCGCGGAGCGGGGACGGGGGCGGAGACGTACCATGGCGCGGTGCGGCGAGGCGACGGCCGCCGGCGGGGAGGCGCGCGGGGAGGCGCGTGGGGAGCCGGCCGCCCCGCCCGCGGACCCTCCCCCGGCCCGCCCCCCGCCGCCCCGCCGCCCCCCGCGCGGGCTCCGGCCGGTCCTCGGCTGCAGACCGAGGCTGCCGCGGCTCCCGCGTCCGCGCCTGCATCCCCGGCCGCCGGGCCGCCCTCCGCGGCGCGCGCGCGCTCCTGCACGCGTGCGGGCGGCGCGGACACGCGTGCGGGCCACTCCTGGTCGCGCGCAGCGCGGCTGACGAGCGCCCCCGGGCCGGCGGGGAGCGACAGGTGCGGCCCCGCCCGGCCCCGGGCCGCGGGTGGCCGGACCCTGCGCGGGGCGCCCCCCCTCCCCGCGCGCAGGAAGCCCCGGGGCGCGCGCAGGGCGGTCACCTCTCCGTGGTGCTGTCGGGGGCCGGGACGGGGCCCGGGGGTGCGGGACCCCGGTCAGACAGGCAGCGTGGGGCGTGGCCGGGAGCCCCGCCCCCAGGCTCGCCCTGAGGGCCGCCTCGGCCCCTCGGGAGCCCTGGGCAGAGCCTGAGCTGAGCCTGGAGTCCCCGCGGAGACAGGGGGATGTCTGTGAGCCTCCTCCGCCTTCGCCGGCACATGAGACTCCGTCCACAGTGCTCCAGGCCTCCGACTTGAGACAGGGCCGGCTGCCCAGAGCGGGAGGGGCAGCGCGGGGGTGCGGGGCTGCAGTCTGGGGAGCACAGGCCGGGCACGCCGGTGGGGTGCTGCAGAGAGGAGCTGCGTTCTCGCAGCGCCCCGGGCACTGCGGCCAGTACACGCTGGCGCGGACCTCAGCTTGCACATCTGTAAAGTGGGGCCAGGCGGCAGGTACGGTGCGCGCCTGCAGGGTCTACGTAGCCCAGGCTAGCCTCAAGTCCATGGGTAGCTAAGGATGACCCTGAATTCCCAGTCCTCCTACTTCCACTTCCTGAGACCAACTCATCACCCTCCTTTTTACAGACGGGGAAACTGAGGCCCGGGGTGGTGACTGGCAGAGCAAGCCTTGAGCAAAGCACGAAACAAGCTGAATGTGGGGTGGGCCTGGGGCCCGGCTGCAGCCTGGTCACGCACTGATCCCATGTACCCGCCTGAGGCACACTGGTGGGGGGGGGCGTCCGTGTCATGGATGAAGAAAAGCGTGCACAGAGGGTCAAGAGCTGCAGAGCCCGGGCTTTGAACCTGCGCAGACGCTGTGAACTGCGACGAGGAGGGCCGCAGTGCCTGACGGGGTCCGCACTGCGCTCGCCCGGGGCGCGCGCCCCACAGCCCCCGGGAGGCCTCGGTGACCCGCAGGTCAGGTAGCCGTCGGGAGCTCAGGGCCATCCCCGTCTACACAGCAGGCGGCCAGCCTGCTCTGCGAGAGCCTCCGGGGCGTGAGGGAAGCGGGCCGCACGGGAGAGCTCCTCCCACTGCCTTCGCCTGGGGGCGGGACCCAGGGCCTCCGGACACACTATTGGTCGACGGCCGTGCGGCCCGGCTCGTGATTGGCCAGAGTGCGTCTGCACGGCCTCTGATTGGCCGTGCGGGCAGCTGCCCCCGACGTCGCCGACTCCATCTTTGTTCCTGGTGCCGCCGGCGGCCTCCGCGGAGGCCCCGGGAGCGCCCGCCTGGGCGGAGCAGGGCGGCTCTGCGCCACGGCCGGGAGGGAGGGAGGCGGGGAGGGCCCCGGGCTCCGCCTCCGCCC